TCTGTTTCACCGACATTTATAAGTCACCTAAATATTAAAAGGCCCCCTAAATTTAGGTGCTCGAAATATGGGCTTAAAGACGATCGTAAAACGAAATTTAATTTAGGGGCTAGTTTAGGGGACTTTTAAGCTAGGGATCCCATACGTAGGTGGATTGTTGGTGAAATCGGGCATAAGCCTGGCATTACTTGTAAGTGGTTGAATCCGCGGTTATTTTGTTTAATGTAATTCCACGTACTAACTAGTCTTAGATTTACATCTTTTTTTAGAAGTCCAAGATTTCTATAACAACTATTTCTCTTTGTGGTATTTTAATTTTGTTCTTGATATTGGTTAATCTGTTTAACTTTTCTTTGGACTCCTTTGGAGTTGAGTAAAAATACATTATACTACAGTCCGGCTCATGTAAAAAATTATTTAGCCAAAGTGGCTTTCTCTATCGTAATCAATTATAGATAACTATGAAAATTATGGTAATGTCAAATGACGTAAAACATGTTCGTATCATTCGTGACGTACATATATTGGCGGTTTGTCATGTATGATTACATTGCAGTGTATGCCATGTCTATAATATAATATTTACAAGTTCCACTGCTGAGCAAGGGCCTTCCAATACGAGGGAATCATGTCATAGTCCACCACGCTGACCAAGTGCAGGCGGACTTCACAGTATTTCGGAAACTTGTTAGGTTCTCTCAGACATGCAGTTTTCCTCACGACGTTTTCCTTCACCGTAAGACAAGTGTTAGTTTTGTTGGAAATGATTCTCACATGAAAATATCAGAGGTGCGAGACTCTGGATTTGAACCCACTTCATTCGGTTTCCAAGCAAACGCGTTACCACTGCGCTACCACTGCCTTAATATAATATTTAGTTTTCTAGTGTGTATCTAGGAAACAAAGTGGATAGAGAACATGCCTCGACCTTTATCTGCTCTAAGTAAATATGTATCTATAGGAGTATGTAAAAATGAAGTCATGCAATTATGACGTTACAATGCATTAAAACTGCAAATTTTATGACATCACTGTAGTCTGTAACGTTAAATATGCAATATTTTGTCGTTTCCTTTTAAGTATTATTGGAAGGCCTCGACATTTTAAAATACTGAAAAACCATAGATGTTCTGTTAGAAGTTTTTCTTAGATATTTATATAATAATTGCCCTCAGTAACATATATATGTACATATGATTTATTGATTAAAAATTGGCCGATAACGGCCATATATTTAAAAAAAAACAAAGGTGGTATTCCCGCCTTTTCCGCGTTTTTGGTATAAAAGTACAGATGTCCACTCTATTGTGAATTGTAATGCATTAGTCGTTATTAAAGATGAGACATAAATATAATAATTAATCAAATCGACTTCTCGAATGATTACTAAAAAAATTTTACAGATTTGTTTTTTCTATCTCTATATAATTAAAGTGTACTAATAACTCTTCATTCAATATATAAAATAAATAATAAATATGTTAACACACAACACCGTCTAGTTCCATGGTGAGCTACGAGGCTTGTTGTGTTATGGATACAGGATAGTTGATACACTACACATATATAACTTATATAATAAACACCCATGACTGGAGTACAAACATTCGTGCTCATCACACAAATGAATGCCCCCAGCGGGACTCGAACCCGCGACCACTGGCGCAGCAAGTATGGCCACTCACTTACAAACTGAGCAAAACGTGTCATCAAAATATCCTTAAAGCCTTTCGTATTTAAAAGGAACACTTAGAATTGGAAATTAATCAACGGCAATTACACGATTTACTTAGGATTTCTAATAAAAAATAAAATGTAGACCTAACTCTTATGCGTATAACAATAAGATTGATAGTGGTTCAATCTTCGCGTCTTGATTCATTTCGCATGTGCTAAGAATGCCGTCGACCGATTTCTTTGGATCTAGTCGCACTGGCGTTTTGCCTATTGCATTAATAGTATGTTTCCTTAATTTTTTCTTAAACCGTTTATTTATAAAATTAATACGAAATAATGCACTGGATTTTAGTTAAAATTATTGTTTTTGAAGTTATAAAAACTTCTTTTGGCACGTTTGGAAAAAAATATGAGAGTAAAATTTTTACGATGCGCGCGCACACCGACAGCCAAAAAGCGACATGATGAAGTTAGCTGCATTCCTTTTACAGAAAGATTTCTTTTTCCTTTTACTTTTTTTTATCTGTTTTTGTTCTGTTACGCCAAAGAAATATAACCTCTTATGTGCGTACACACTTTTTTATAAAAAAAGGTCTTTAAAATGTATTGACCCTGGATAGCTCCTGTAATTAAATATTTTTAAAAGAATTTTGGTATATACATAATACGTATAATAAGACTGCCTCGGTGGTGTAGCGGCTAGCATGTACGGCTGCACACCCGGAGGTCCTGGGTTCGCTTCCCGCGTCGGGCCAAGTTTAGTTATTGAGTCTTTCTGTATAGTAAGCCTCAGTAACAGCCCGGAGTTGGGAAGCTGGCGGTGTTTCACCCCCGTGCCTCGGAGAGCACGTAAAGCCGTCGGTCCTGCGCCTTATCTCTCACCGGTCGTGTCGAGTAGTCGTCCCACCGGAGTATGAGAGTGACAGGAATAGAGAGTGCCTTTGTGTCTGCGCGTACACTTGTTCACTATAATATCTCCTGCGCAGTTGGCTAGTCTCAATGAGATTGGCTGCCGTGGCCGGAATCGGTCAGGAGAACATCATCAATTTGTATAGGACCTTTCTTTCGCTTTGTATCGGAATAACCGTCCTTACTTCTCTGGTAAATAAGTATTTTTGCCAAAAAAACCGTTCAATCAACCATTTGGTTTCCCATCCCCAAGGGATTTTAGTTAATAAATTCTTACTAAAAGACGCGTGTAGATAGCGTGTAGATACTAATATTATAAAGAGGTAAAGTTTGTGAATTTTGAGTTTGTGACGTTGTAGGGGTAATCACTGGATCTACTGAACCGATTTAGATGATTTTTGGTAAGAAGATAGTTTGAGACCCTGGGAAGAACATAGGATACTTTTTATCCCGGAAATCATCCCTTGAGGGGTTGAAAATGGGGATGAAAATTTGGATGGGGAATCAACCTAGGGACGAACCCCAGCGAAGCGAGTGTGAGTCGCTAGTAGCATATAAACATTAAACAAGGCGATTAAGAGTCGTATCTAGCATGACAATTTACAATAATTAATTATAATATCATTACATAGAAACCAGTGGTAACCAATTTGTTCTTACATTCTTCCTACGCACATCTAATTCTGTTAACCGTAAAGTAAAAACGTATGTATAATGATTTAATGACGTCGCGCGTCAGATGCTTCTGAACCTTGACAGTGATGGTTTGGTTGCAGTGTGGCCATAAACCTTGCTGATAGAGAACGAGATAAATATATTCTCATATTTTGAGTAATGTACCCATGTAGTGAAATAACTGGTGTGTTTGTAGCGATAAAACACAGTTAAAATTATAGAAGTCGATTATATAAATCGTAATAAATAATATTTGGAAAACCAAGTGAAGCGAGTTCAAATTCCGGGCCTCGAACCTGTATTATTCTAATAGAGAATCATTTTTAATATCATTACCACTCGGCTTATGCTGATAGAAAACATCGCGAGTAAACCTTGTGTTTGAGAGATCGGAGAATTTAACTAGTTTTCAGAAGATGTGTGAAGTCCGCCATCCCGTGCCCAACGATAGCTGAATCTGCGAATATACTTTATACGATTGTATGAAATATGTTTAGCTGTCGAATAAAGTTCCTAGAAAATAGCTACTGTTCCCTTGCTTTGAAGCGAGGCCCTGCTATGAGAATTTAAAAGGATGAATATATAATAAATCCTGATTTAGTAACATATATTTTCATAGATTTCTGTTACTTCTTATCCCGGTACATCAAGCAGTAGTCTATATCCCTTATATATATTATCCCTTATATAAGTATCCCTTCGGATATTAGCGCTGTTGGTATAAACGGTGGAGTGTATCTCTACCATAAAATCATGTTTACCGCCGGTTTCATAGCCACAGCGATGACCTCACACTTTAGTTGTCAACTAATTTTAACTTGCAAAACGTCAATCGCAATAATTTGTATTTACTATATTATAATAAGGTTTTATTAGAAAATAAAATTTTGACATTATTAATGATTGTAATTATACTAACTATTTATTTTGGTTTTACTCGTGAAAATCACCGTTATAATTTATTCATATAATAAAATTGTAACTATGCCGAATCTGTACATTAAATATTTTTTGGAAAATCTTATTGGAATAAACATTATTATCGATACAGAGGCCGAATCTACAGTTTTTAGAATTTTTGTCTGTCTGTCTGTCTGTTACCGCATCACAGAAAAACCACTGGAGGGATTTTGATGAAATTTGGTATGGTGATAGCTGGTTATCCGGGTCAACATATAGGATAATTTTTACTGCGGGAAAATGTCTCATTTCTGATAAAAAATACAAAAACTGCAATGTAAGAGTATACTAATATGTGAAACCTAAGAATTTGGTTTTTGGTCGGAGCCGCGGGCAATGCTAATATTATATGTATAATAGTATAAAAGAGAAAGTTTGGATGAATGTTTGTTGCTCAGTCATGCCGGAATGGATGTACGGATTTGGATGAAATTTAGCACAGATTATAAGTTTGCAATAACACATAGGTTACTTTTTATCCCGGAAAAATGTAGGTACGATTTCCGTGGGATAGATTTGTTTTTGTATTTACTAGGGACGAACCAGAGCGAAGCGAGAGTGAGTCGCTAGTGTTTTATATTTGTCGCCTTAGTATTTAAATTATGTTAGCCTTATATTTGTAAGATAATATCGACGAGCGTGTCTCGCCGTTTACAGCTGAAAGCTTGGCGAGAAAATAATTTTTATAGAAGTATGTGTTTAAGAAGTTAACAGTAAGTATACTTATTTAACTTTAAAATTATATATTTTTAGTATAAAATAACTATTATATTTTCCAGTCAAGACATTGCCGTGACGAATTTGAGAATAGCATGAATAAGATAGGATATGACGCGAACCGCACAGCGAGCTTCAATGCATTGCACCACCACAAGTACTTCCTAGGATATAAGATAGTGTTAAATATTCACTTAAACAAGGTAAGTAATCACCTTTTTTCCCTTTATTATTAAAAGTTATAATTTTTTTTTTAAATAATAAATAAATTTAAACTATTTTTTTTAATACTAAGTAAAACACAATAAATATAAAATTTACTTATACTTATATAATTTAAATATGTTTAGTATATTATATATATATATATATATTATATATATATATATATATATATATATATATATAAATTTAAATTTAAATTCTGAGGTGAATCTGTACATTAATTAGTTTTTGGAAAATTTTATTGAAATTGTCATTACTATCGCAACAGAGGCCGAATCTATAGTATAGTTTTTAAAATTTTTATGTCTGTCTATCTGCCTATCTGGGAAAACTTACGAGAAAACTACTGGACAGATTTTGATGAAATTTGGTATGATGATAGCAGGTTATCCGGGTCAACAGATAGGATTCTTTCTATTGTGGGAAAATATCTCTTCTCTGAGAAATCTATGCTAACTGTTAATACGTTCCTAGGGACAAAACCGAGCGGAGCGAGGGTGAGTCGCTAGTATAGTGTATATAATAGCAATCACAATGTTTACATTGTCCTTTTTTGTTATTACAGGCCGATTGTCATATTCGAAAATGTGAGAAGATAATTAATAGCTGCGGCGTCAACTGTGAAGTAAGAACCTACATTACACCTAACAAATATAAAATTTAAAGCTGATGATTTAAGGAGGACTCTGGTTCATTTATCATTTTGTATACATATACTACTGTTCTTACTTTGAAACAGCTAAATAGATTCCAATAACGACACGTTGGGCTCAGTTTGTAGTGACCCTACTTGCTGTGCCAGCTGTCGCGGGTTCGAGTCGAGAATGTTTGTACTCCAGTCATGCGTGTTCATACATATATTTATAATATGTATGTATTTAAAGTTATATATGTGTAGTGTATGAACTATCTGGTATCCATAACACAGGCCTCGTAGCTTACCATGGAACTGGATGGTGCTGTGTGTTAATGTCCCAAAATATTTATTTATTATTTATTTAATGGCAGTAGATTCTAGAACCCACTATTCTGAATTAAAGATATGTATCAGTAAAGCTAAACTACAGGTACTAGTAAAAATATGCATTGATTTCGGATATTCTTATCTATACTATAATATAATTATAAAGAGATAAAGTTGGCGAGCTTGTGATGTTGTAGGAGGTAATCTCTGGATGTCGCCCCCAACGTGCGTTCACCTTGTCGTGGTGGGGGGGCTCAGTAGTGCCCGGCAATCCAACCGGGCGCGAAGCCAAGAAACGCACAGGGAGGTGGCCCACTTCGGTGGGCGGTGGGAGGTGGCCCTCTTCGGAGGGCGGTGTACCATGCGGGTTGCTCCTGGTACTTCTCTGATAGCAGAGTGGACCTTGGAGCAACCTCGTGGTTGTTGTGGTCTGCTTTGGTAGACCTGCCGTCGGGGCGTCGTAGTTGAATGCGTAAGCGATCCTGCGACGCCCCATTAAGACGGTGGAAGGCTTTGTTGGGTTTTAGTGGGTAGTACTGGCTTTGCCGGTGAGTCCCACACCTCGTGCGTAAATGCATTTCCCAACGTTAAAAAAAAAAAGGTAATCTCTGGATGTACTGAACCGAGTTACATGAAATTTGGTAAAAAGATATTTTGAGACCCTGGAAAGGACATAAGATACTTTTTATCCCGGATATAATTCCTTAGGGGGGTGAAAATGGGGATAAAAGTTTGTATCAAGCTAGTAACTAAACAAAACAGCAACCTTTGCTTGAAAATATAGTAGATAGCTCTTTCACGAAAGCGGCTGAACTACTTTATTATATAGAATTGTGTGAACTAAAATGTGTAAAATCTACCAAAACAAATGTTGATGGTAGAGATGTGCCGACAAGTGACCGATTAGTCGGGAAAGCCGACTATCCGGCTATATTCATCCGACAAGTCGGCCGATTAGACGGCTTTTTCCCAACCGACTAGTCGGCTAGTCGGCAAAATTCATAGTCGATGCAATCGATAGCAATAATTCTTTGGTACTTTGCTTAGAATTTACATTTTGGGGATCTATTTTTCATCAATAAAATACATAGTTATTCTTTTTTGTATTAATTTTTATTTGAATTCTACTTTTTCCCATACTACTACGGCTGTATTTAAAACGGGGCTGACTTATATAAATGAAAGGTTTCATGAATCAGAACTAAATACACAAATATGTACATTAATCAATTTACAAATTGGAAAAGGCACATTATTTAATTGCTTCTATTGAAATCTTTTTAAACTATTATTTTCAGACCATCCCACAATTGATAAGATATAGACGTCTCGCTTTATGGCAATTAAATAGAGTGAAAGATGATTTACAACATTCTAGAAGATCATACAGCGATCTTCTTGTACATTCTAGAAGAAACTTGGACAAATTGAGAAAAAAAGCCCAGTTAAGAGCAAATGATGCAGTAGCCGCAGTACACAGGTGCGTATGTACTACTACCTGTTAGTTTAGGAGGTAACGTACAAAAATATGCACTCTTTTGCCACCAAAAATGTATCAAAAAGTTTTATTAAATATTTATTGCATAGTTATTATTGTTACATATAAAAAGTTGTTTTTTGTACATTTTAATTTGATTGTTTAATTTGTCTTTTTATACTGTCAGAATTAATAGGAAAGAGTTTTAAGTTTTTTTCTATTTATTAGAATGTTATTAACTTTTATATTCTTTAAATTAAAGTAAAATATTAAGCGAAGTTGTTTAAATATTATTGCTAATTAAATAATCGTTAACAATACAAACTCAGTCAGTAACGGTAAAACATAATTATATATTTATTTTATAAATAATTTATTCACAACATAACAGAAAGAACAAATATATAAAAAAAGAATATTTTAAAATTATAAAGAAAATATAATATAAAATTATATTGATTTTCTAAGGCAAGCAATAACCTGCTTATACCGATTGAAAGCTTACAATCAGCAAAAAAAAACTGATGTTTTTCTCTTTTGTTGTAAATTTATAATACTTTTAGTTAATATTTAGGTAAACATGTAAAGAAATTATGTGCCTTACGCACAAAGTTCCATATACAAAGCGTAACTAGAAAAAATTACAATGAAAAAATTATAACAAGAAAAAAAAACAAAAACTTTGTATACAAAAAAGAAATAAAAAATATTACGAAAGAAGCACAATTGTTAAAAAATATGAAAATCTGTATTAAAGGTATCTACGGTAATTGATGAATTAAGTATTAAGCATTGGCCAAATATGTAATAGATACTGCCATGACGAATTTATGTAGAATGCTTGCGAAAATATGAACGAAATAATATATATATTTTTTAATTTAGAATGTCGAAAGGACGTAAGTTACCTTAAATTAGTCTCGGTTCTACCATTTTATGAAGACAACATATTTTGATGAAGTTTTTTCGGAATGAAAAGTCCGTCCTGAGTAAAACTGGCGAAAGAAGCTCAGAGCGATTTAAATAATATCATCTTTTTAAGTTTCAATAATTCTCACATATTGAAGAAGCTTGGAGCCTATCACATTTCTAAGATCATATATTCAGAGAAGAACATACTTTATCAATTTTTTAAATAAAAATGTATAGATAGGTACCAAAATTATTCATAAAAAGAATCATTTATTCTATACATATAATATCTCTTAGACTATTTTATATACTAGAATCTAGTTTCTCATTTTAACATAATAACATTCGACTCCATCATAACTTGGTATAACTTGGGCTAATTAGTTGAAAGTACAAACGATATCGATTACACGAATATTGTTAGAAAATATAGAAAATACGTAATAAGTTACTTTTGTATATTTTATTACATTGTATTATTTATATGTACGTATAATAATTTCTTACATTTACGCGAATATTTGACATTTCAAATAAAACTATCTCTTCGCAGATTTATTTTGATTCTTGAAGTGTCTCCCGTGACCATGATTGTTATAAAGCATTCGAAACGTCAAGTACAAAAAATCAAAATAAATCCGCGGAAAAATCCGAAAAGATAGTTTTATTTATATGTATGTAGGTATGTATGTAAAAATAAATTATATCATTTTCTACTACTACTATTGAAGAAACCAAGTCTCTTTGAACCAATTATATATTTATATGAACAAAATTCTGTGCCATACCTACGCATACATACCTACATATTTTTGTTACTTCATTATATATTAAAACCTATACAATGTATAATTGTTATTATTTAATATAGTGTAATTTATAATTTTGGTGACAAAAAACAGTTATATTAATTTAAATTATGTAATAATATCAAAGGCTTTTATTTTATTTTTAGATAAAATAAAGAAAATATAAACTAACAAATTGTTAATAATTTATATGCAAAGATATATCAATGTAAAGTACATGTATGTATGTATAATATTTACAGTTCAATTCAAAGTACAAAAATATTTTTATAAACTAAACAAAAACATGAAAAGTACATATTTAAATATTAGAAAATGTTTGTTTTCGTTATTTTTAAACTAATATACTATTTTTATCATCCTTATTATATAGTATTGGTATACAATTTTTGACATTATATTTAAAAAAAATGATATATTTCTGGTATTTTTTATTTCTCTATTGAAATTCCAAAAATAAAAATTAAAAATTGTAATTCTAAAATCTAGAAAACAACAAAAAAAATATTACGACGGCTTCAAAATTACTCAAAAGTACTTTTAGTTATGACTAAAGTTTTTTTATTGAACAGAATTTATATGAAAGTTCACTCGACGTTTTAATCTACTCATTAAAAAAAAACAATTCATAATTGGCGAAGACATAGAATAATATACATACAAAAAATACACACAAATCGAGTACTTTCTAATTTTGAAGTCGGTTAAAAACTGTATTAGAACCTTTTTATTCAAACATTTTTTTAAAACACATAATACATAAAAATCTCCTGAAACAGAAAACCGGTAAGATAATTTGGATGATATTAAAATTAAATAATTATAATATGTCATTATCAATCAAAAAAAGTACTATATACACAATCCCATGCAAAAGTTCTCTTAAAACTGTCCACCAATTGTGTTTAGGTAATTATTCTAGTTGAAATAAATATACAACAATGTAAATTGAACCTTAACTACAATGTTTAAAGTTGTTTTCACAACAACAAAAAAATAAATAAAAAGCGCGCTCAAATGTTCAAATGAGCGCTCATTTAGTGAGGTCATTTTTTGACGCTGATTGTGTATCTAGTACTTTTTGTACGATGCTTGTTATATACTTAGTTCCACATATAACTTACATTATTTAGTTAAATCGTACTTAGTCACTGTGATAGTTATCGTATTAATTTATTACAAATTCAGTAGTTTAGTGGAGAGTGTCAAGTAGTTCGTAACAATACGTTGTTGATAAGTTAACCAAATTATATTTTTAATACATTTTAACCGAATATTATTGTGTTTTTATTTATGATTGCCTTTAATATGTTGCTAGTTTTTAGTAGTTTTTTTTAGGGATAGGCTATGTCCATCTCCATGATGCAATCTATGCGCTTGCCAAATTTAATCAAAATTTATTTTACTTTTCATGAATTATTTATTATGGTTAATAATGGTTAAAATTACTGAAATTTAGTTATTCAAATGCAGGATGAATTTCACAATATTTATCATACATATATAAAATAAAACAGTTTAACTATTTGCGAAACAATGATATCTATTATTTGTTCAAACAAACAAAAATAGCCCGAAGAATAGCCTAAATTAGCGCTGTCCATTTTTGTATGAGATGAGGCATCTGTACTAGTATAGTATTATGTGATCTGTGGTAAAGGTAACATTCGAAAATACAGAATGACTTTCACATTTTTCATAATTGATTTTTAGAAAAAAAATTTGATATAGTTGGCTCTATTGTACTATTTGCAAATTTCTATTCAAGTTGAATTAAACCTCGTAGCTTACCATGGAACTAGATGGTGATGTGTGTTAATGTCCCAACAATTGATAGACTCGATTACAACTAAACACTGTCTTAAAAAAGGTTGAATGTTTTCACAAATAAATACTTTTAAGCTGAGATTAATTTAGTAGTGTATACTTAATCTGAGCATTCAAATAAGTTTTTTTGTATACTACATAGTTTTATAGCAGATACAAAGAGGTTCGAATATAAATAACATCTTACTAATGTTGTAAACGTGACAGTTTAGATAGATGTTTGGATGTTTGTTACTTAATTACGCTAGAACGGCTAAACAGATCTGGATGAAATCTAGCACAGAGATAGTTTATATGGAATAGCACATAGCTACTTTTTATCCCGGAAAAATGTACGGCTCCCGTGGGATAGATTTGTTTTGTTTTCCTAGAGGCGAACCCAAACGAAGCGAGGGTGAGACGCTAGTAATACATATAAATATTTATACACAGAGTAAATGCTTATTAATAACAAATATATCAATTAATATGCAGATAATATGTGCAATGACAAGGGTTATCTTGTTTTTACCGATTGCAAAAAAAATGCATTGTGAATTATTGAATTAATGTTTTTTTATGTAGAAATATCTAAAGTTATATAAAAATAGAAAGAAAAATTGACTGAATGATTTACCATTTTTCTTTGACAAGTCCTCAGCCTAAATTACGAGCATATTGTATAGAGTAATAGAAATTTTATAAAATAATCATTATTTTTCAGTTTTAAGTAGTACGAAAACCGTATTACATATAAAAAAACTATAATTTCAAATATACAATAGAGTGAAAATAGAGTGCTAGTAAAATTTTGCCATTAATATTTTATTGCTGACCTTACTCTGTTCTTGACTTTAAACATCTCAATAGATTCCTAGATTCACTCGCACTGATTGACCTAGCTAGTGACAAGTACGACATGAATTACAACTTTAATGCTTAAAATGTGGCTAAAGTGGTATTATTTTGTTGTAAGTCTCATATTACTGAGTAGTGTAACATGTGAGGTAAGTTCAAATATCATATGTTAGTTGTTTGTTTTATGAATAGTACTTAATACTTTTAACTTATAAAAGACAAGTATCTATATTTTTAGAATATTTAGTTAAAATATTAGTAGTAATGTAATTTAATGTTGCTTGAAACTAATAAAAAGTTGAATTAAATGAAAAAGATGGCAAAAGTCTGTTTTTTTAATTAATTAGTGTCTATAGAAGCGGCTGCCAATGTTTTAATTATAAGTGTTGTATTTGATGATGATGATGATAAAAATTATATTTAAATTGCAATTAAGAAAGAGTACAATTATACCTAATGATAATAAAAATGATATTATATTGTTGTTATTATTCAAATTCATTTCAGTCATAAATGAAACATTGTTTAAATTAATGAAAAAATAAGAATTTAATTCCAATTTCTTACTTTTAACATAAACATAAAAACCAAAAGTCCACAGAAACATCAGATACAGCGACGTTACTCAAAACATACAGGAGCTACATTATCGCATCCCATGATCTGGACAAGAGCGACCGCAGCATCCTCAAGAACTGGACCACTGACTTCCAGATACAGTTAGTGAATATCACTACGCATTACAGATTGGAAATGACGAGGCACAAAGAGCATAACTTTATAACGATTAAGACTAATTCTAAGGTACACTTTAGCTTCGCACGCACACACACACACACACACACACACGCACACGCATACGCATACGCACAGGCACACGCATACACACAATAGGTAATAGTAGGTAGGTACAAATTTATAAATTATATATTAACTACACTACTACTCGGGACTCGAACCCAGGACACGGATTTGTAACCGCACATGTTAGCCAGTAGCCACTAGACTAACATTTATTAACGTATGAAATATTTTCAGTGGAGTGATTGTATTGATTTTCATCATATCGAGATCTATAACTCAGAGAAATTATACTTCAACGGGGAGAGCAAGTGTCTCCAAACTGCCAATGCTGAAGCGAGTCGGAAAAAACACTCTGTCTACCAACTAGAAAAAGAGGTAAGGTATACATGTTTATCTCAAATCAAGCCAAAATATGCTTTATTTATATAGACTTTTACAGGCACTTCTGAATGGTTAATTTTAATTTAAATATCAGTATGTAAGTCCGTGAGGAATCTACCACCGGCTCGTAAGTTCTGCTGATAAGAGCCGGTGAGAAATTCAACAATTGCTCTTTTAAATATAATAATAATTTACAATATATCTATAGTCTATACAATAATTATGTGCTTATACTACGTGAGTATCGACTAGGTAATAGTATTCGTACACATTAGCCAGCAAAGTATTCCGCGACGGAATAATATACTACATATGTAAGTATACTGTGTATGTAGAATGTGCTTTTGACGAATTTCATAAAAAAAGTCTATGCCTTAAAATAAATTCAGAAACGTGACACCTTATCGGATCATATGGTTGGCATTTTTTGACTGTTTAAGTTTTATTTAGACAAAAAGCTTTGTGCGCCTCATTTAAAAAAGAAAGGGAATGGGGAGAGTGTAGCTTTTAATACTACTATGCATAGAAAAATATTCGAATATTTAATATATTCAAATATATTTTCTAGATTAGAAAATGGCGTAAAAGCTACAGATACTTATCAAGTCAATGTAATATGAACAACCCTGGAGATGAGGAGGCCGCGGGCGAGTGCCTTGTGGAATATGTGAGTAAAAAATAACAATATAAAAATCCTATATATTACTGATCTGTAGGTTTTATTTAGGCCTTATTATTTTAAGTATTTTATTATTATTATATAAGAAATAAATAAATTAAGACAGGAAAAACAGATGAAATAGATAGATTATTATAATCTCTTTATGCAAATAAAATATATATTTTTTTAAAATATTATCAAATAAATCTCCCCCTACGCTGTCTGTCTGTCTAAACGCGACAAACTCAAAAACTACCAGATTTTTATACGGTTTTCACCAATAGACGGAGTGATGCATGTTTAGATGTATAATTCATTAAATTGTTGAATATGTCGGAAAAAATCATGTCGACTGGGAGTTTAGCTGGCGTCGCGTAAACCAATAAAGTTATATCAAAACAATGAATTACGGGATTATTCCTCTAAAAAAGACCTATTAAACTATAGCAATGCGATATACAATGTATATTATGTACGTAGACGTACCTAGGGGCACACCTGAGCGAAACGAGAGTAATGCCCAATTTCACCAACCCATAAGCTACCACCTGTAGTGGCGCACACTACACATCTACGTTTGGGATCCCTAGCTTAAAAGTCCCCTAAACTAGCCCCTAAATTAAATTTGTCTTACGATCGTCTTTAAGCCCATATTTCGAGCACCTAAATTTACGGGGCCTTTTAATATTTAGATGACTCCTAACTGTCGGTGAAACAGAAACTGTCCCCTAACAGCCCCCTAACCATGCTTAGGGGATTCCTTAAACTTAGGTGACTTGGTGAAATCGGGCATAAGTCACTAATTAAAAATAACTATTTATATCTATATTTCTATGTTTCTTTTTAGATGCAAAAAGATAACTACTATATGACATTTCAACGTCTAATTTTATTGAAAATGGAGTCGATGTCGGATTTATACGCGCAGATATTGAAATCTCTCAGCAATTGTGAAGAGTGCTTAAAAAGCAACCTGTCTGTGTGTTTGAGTAACGCTAGAAACATAATGGATACTTTGAACCATTGTTACAGAAGAAAGGATTTGTAAATAAAGTAATATTATTTATATATTTATTTATTTATTTTATAAAGTATGCTTTAGCGACGTATAAAAGACAAACATCCGATGAAATATTTTTTGCGCCAGGAACCTTCGCAGGCGTAAACAGAATAATACACTAGTTTCATCAAAATCGCATCAATAGTTTAGTGACGCATACAGGACAAACATACGGACATTCATTTTTATTTATATCGATAGTTTTAAAAAAAAAGTCAATGCTTGAATCTCTACCAGTTAATTTATAGCTCAAAAGAGAAATATTCATTTTTCCACTAAAGATTAATAGTTGATTAAGAACTCAAATATTATTTGCAAAGCCTACAGTTCTTTTTAATTATTTGTGCAAATATTTTTTAATACTTTTATAAAAAATTATATTTCTAATAGACAATTAATATTATACAAGATATAATATGTAAATAAAACTAAGATAATAATTAAGAAATAGTATATTTCGATGTAAAATTCCATACAAATATATTATTCGACTGCACACGCACACACGAGACACACATCTTTGTACAATAACAATACTATGGCAATACTACGCGGTAAGAGTATTCGAAAATATAGACATAAAACAAAACTGCATATTTAGTTATATATTTTTTTTATTATTTTTTTTTAATATATTTATCAATAATATATATTTTAAATGTTGTTATCCATACTATTATTATTATAAATGCGCAAGTAACTCTGTCTGTCTGTTACCTTTTCACGCTTCCGCTGAACCGATTTGGAGGAAATTTGGTATGGAGATAGTATGAGACCTTGGAAATGACACGATAGTTTGTAACCCGGAAACCATCCCTCAAGGGGGTGAAGAGGGGACCGGTTTTTTTTTATTAAATACTATCTAATAAAGGCTATAGAAGACTAGTATTTTAGGCCGTTAAAAGTTTAATGTCTTTTAAAAATTGTTACAAATATATAAAATATGCAGCTTTAATTATATAAGAAGTACAAAATTAAGGCACCATAATTTTTAGAATAAGATATAAATGACTATAGATTATTTATAAAATATTCAATTACAGCTAGGAATTGTGAGAAGTATCCATGTATATAACATTTTACAGTATACACACGTATTCTACCGTCATAATAAAGAAGGCCTTAACTAACAATTTGGTCAAAAATGACTAAATGCAGCTTCGGAATCAGCAAAAAAATGCTACTTGAGAGAATTACTCATAAAGCTCTAAGTCTTATGAATCCGGAGATACCGTAAGAATTTTCATCGTAACTACGTACAAACTACTAAGTACTAACTTCAAATATCTCGAAATCAACCTTCAATCAAGAAATCAAAGTTGCAGCCTTCTTTCTATGACGGCAGTATTTTAAACTAATCAAACAATAAAATGTATCAAAAATATAAATAGTATAAAGAAATGGCTAAGAAAATATGAGATTCATAACTTTTTTTTTATAGAAAAATTGAAAATGCTGCCTTATTTGTGATTTGGCACTGAATTTATCACACATCACATAATATTTTACAAATAAATAAAGGACGGAAAAAAATTCACATAATTTAAAAGATAATTCGTAATATTGTACATGAAATTTAAATAATATTTCCTTCGATTTACGCGAACATTTGACTTTTTAAATAAAACTTAAAAAAAAAATCTTTTCGGATTTTTCCCGAAAATATAGATCTTTTGATCTGAATTATAAATTTCATTCGTTCCTTTGGAAATAAAAAATATATATTGGAATATATAATTAAAAGCGTTCCCTGAAATAATATAACTGTGTTTAAAAAAAATATTTAATATATTTTACCAATGGCTTTCTTTTACTAAAATTTATATTTTGTACTTTTACCATGTTAATTTATTTTTGTTTATAAACAAAATTTCAATAATGAATTTTTCATATCATCCTTATAAAACTATTATATACAAATATCACTAAATAAACAAACGTTGACAATGTATTATAACGTCGATAACAAAATTACCGTTTAACTAAATACACACAGACTTCAAAATAAAATATGTACAAATATACCACCTTCAGAGGTAGCCTATTTGTTAAGAGTCATTAAAATCGACTCAAGAATTAATAAAATATGGTGTACATTAGAAACAGAGACAAATATCTTGTGAAGAGTTCCTTCTCTTTCTTTGATGTCGGTTAAAATGACGCCATTTTACGTTTACGATTTATAATAAAATTATTATAAGTCTTCAATAACACGTTGCCAACATGAGTTGTAATAAAAATCACTATTTACACGTTAACATTTACTGTATCTACGTCACTAATTCGATGTCCGATCTGAAAGGAAAAGAATTATAATATTATTATAATTATTTCTATTTGCCCATTTTTTAACGTCCTACGGCTGGGCGTGGGCTTTCTTTCAATACGAGGGGGGTCAGGCCATAGTGCGCACGCTGGCCAAGTGCGGACGGACTGAGCATGTCTTTCGAAAACTCGCTAGATTCTCTCAGACATGCAGGTTTCCTCACGATGTTTTCCTTCACCGTAAGACAAGTGGTAATCATGTTGGAAATGATTCGCACATGAGAATATCAGAGTTGCGAGACTCGGGATTTGAACCCGCTTCACATGGTTTCTAAAGCGAGCGCGTCACTACTGGGCTATCACTGCCTATTTCATAATTATTTAAGACAATATTTATTCTTTAAAAATAGATCAACAAAAATTCTTTTTTACAAGCAAATTTTATAAAAAAATAACGTATTCTATTTCCAGTCGGATAACGTTCCGTACAAATTATTGTCAAACTTCAACAAATTGTCTTATAAGTTGTTCAAAATTACCCAGAATGATGTTAGCTCATGGGATTATTTAAATTAATTTTAAGTAAAATTCTACAATGAATAATTTTTCTCATTACAATCTATATATAAGTATATAAAAATCGATTGATGTATGAATGTTCCCTATGGACTCCAAAATGGCCGGAGCGATTTTGATGAAATTTTCAGGCAATCTTTAGATTAGCCGAACGGGTTATTCTGTGTCGTTTGAACGCGGGCAAAACCGCGGGTGTTGCTAGTAATACATATTTACCATGAGAGCGGTCCGAGGCCGGCGGGCCGCGGGGGCGGCTCCGGAGTGTCCGGGGAGGGCGGCTTGAAGGTGCTACCCTGTAAATAGTTTATATAATGTAAATAATATTGCACTATTATATTCCCAAAAAATTGTTTGTGTGTGTCTGTTTGTTACTCCCTAACGTTGAAAGGGCTAGTCTGATTTAGATGGAATTTAGTATACGGATAGACCGATCTGTAGTAACACATACGCTTAAGGCTACTTACTGTTTTATTGTTTATAATTGTATCACTCTACTTAAGGACTAACTAACGAATTGGATGGAATTTTGTATTTAGATAAGGATTAGTTTTTGAAAATTTTCTATATAGGTGTTTTCTGAAAATTTCTAAATTTTTCAGTCTGTACATATAATAAAATTGTAACTAAGCCGAATCTGTACATTAAATATTTTTTGGAAAATCTTATTGAAATAGTAATTATTATTATCGACACAGGGGTCGAATCCACATTTTTAGAATGTTTCTCTGTCTGGGCACAGACGGAAAAACCACTAGAGATATTTTGATGAAATTTTATGTGATGATAGCTGATTGTCCGGATCAATTTGTAGTATACTTTTTACTGCTAGACAATATCTCATCTCTGAGAAATCTATACTAAACGTTAAAACGTAACTAGGGACGAACCCGAGCGGAACGAGGCTGAGTTTCTAGTGGTTTATAAATTATTTATTTATTCTCCCAAGCTGTAATAACTCGAGGAATCCATACTAATATTATAAATGTGAGTATCTTTGTTTGTTTATTTGTCTGTCTTTCACGTCGAAGTAGAGTGACAGATTGGCGTGATTTTTTGTGTGGAGAGAATTGGAGGGCTGGAGAGTGACATAGGATACTTTTTACCGCGGGAGATTATCTCATTCCCTCAGAAAAACACGTTATAATACAATTCAAAAAAATATCTATGCTCAGAATTACTTGAAACTTGGTACTAATGCTCTTCAATACAATTAAATATATACATACGTGTTTTACATTTTTCGAAATTCATCCCATAAGGGAGTAAAATATGGGATGAAAGTTTTTATGAAACCTACCATTTTAGAGTATTTTTTGTAGTTTTAGCGCGAGCGAAGTCGCAGGTTCTGCTGGGTTTAAATATAATTCAAAATAGTGATAGCTCCACCCAATATCTAGCAAGTAAGTAAGTACCTGGAAGCCGAGCGCGGCCTCGAGCGGCGTGGGGGAGTCCCCGGCGAGCGTGGCGTAGTCCCCGAAGCGCTCCGTGGCGCGGCTGCCCTGGATGGTCGCGTACGTGTTGTCCGGCTGTGTGGGTATTTTTATTACTTATTATTATTAATTATGAATTTAGTTTTAATTGAAGACAAAATCCGTGATAAAACTCCTGCAATTTTTTGTATTTATTTTTATTTTGTTCCCGACATTTAAAATGCATTAAAACGTAGCATTAAAACTTCGAATATTTACATAGATCTAAAAAAAAGTATTAAATGAATTACATAATAATTTAAAAATACCAACAAAATAAAAAAAAATAAGAATCTGACATTAGAATACTCCAACTCACCGGTGGTGGTTGTTCAGCATTCTGCTCATTCTGGTCTCCGAACACGTTCATAGTGAGCTCTTGCTCCTCATACGGCCGGAGCTTGGTCTCCAGCCACAACGGGTTCTCAGTGGTGCTCAGCTCCTCCAGGATCCTCCTCCTGGCGAGGCTGTCCCCCTTGCTGGACTGCAGGGACGGGGGAGGGATCACCCTGGAATAAGTTGCCCTATAAAGGTTTTATGTAGGTTGATTTAAATGTTATATTAGAAGTATATTATATAGATGTAATAAGTTTGTACTCGTATATGTGGTAACAACCACACAAACAAATTTATTACATCTATATACATATATTTATATAATATATAATATGATATATACGAGTATATCATAGCAATGATAAATATTTTTATGTTGTTTTTTCGTTGGTTTAGTGGCCACAAATACGGAAGTAGTCAGTTCGAGCCTCGAGTCGGGTCAAATTATTATGTTCTTCAGTAAAAAAATTCTTGGTGACAGCGTGATGTTGGAAAGTAAATAATCGCACTTAGCAATGAGCATGCCCTTACCAATGTTTGAGACAAGCGCAGACCACTATGAAGGTGACGATGCCCGTGAAGAGCACGATGAGTAGCGCGATGAGAGCCGCCAGCGCGGGGTCGAAGCTGTCTGGGGCTGGGGGTTTATATATATTTTATTTATTAATTTTTTATTTAATCATTTATTTCAGGCAATATTTACAAAACGATCTTAAATATGTAAACAGATACCCATAACATACTTTAAAAACTAACATATATATATATATACAAAATATAAAAACTATTTAACACGTAGTGTTGACGTAGACGTGTGTGCTGTGTCAGAAGGTAAACGACCTCAGAACTTCCGAAACACGGATAATTATTTTTTAATAATAATATACATATTTGTATTGCAAACACTATCGTTTATACAAATTATACTAGACATTTATAACGTAATAACACATTCTATGCAAAAATTATATATAAAAGCGACTTAAATGAAAGATAAAAATAAAAACTATTATTTTAAATAAAATAAAACTATCTTTCTTCCAGTGCCTATTAATTGTCTGTAACAATTATTCATCCTTTCAGACGTCTAAAACCTTAGTCTCTCTCGTGACCATGATTGCTGTAAAGCATTCAAATAGTCGGGGACCAAAAATCTAAATAAATCTACGAAAAAATCCGAAAAGATAGTTTAATTTATTTAAAATGTGAAATATTCGCATAAATCTAAGAAAGTATTATGAAAAATTATTATAATTCTCAGACCTACTGAATATACAAATATGCAAAATTTCATAAGAATCGGTCAAGCCGTTTCGGAGGAGTTTTGTTACAAACACTGTGACACGAGAATTTTATATATAAGAGATTTTAACGGTAACCAGATAAGTGAATGACAATCTCACTTCGGATCTTAGACTATGTAACTAACCTTTCGAAGTAGCACTGGCAGCTATCAACGTCTCCACCCCGTACTGCTGGTACACGTCCTTGAGCTGGTCGTACTTGGAGTCTATAGTTTCCAGCACTTTGTCCACCGGCAGCACTTCGTACGTCACCGGGTCCACCGCGTGGAGGTGGATCTCGCACCTAACATGAGAAATGTTATAAGCGTAATGTTTCATAATTTATTTATTTTTGGAAAACAAACAGTGTTTAAAACACTTACAGAAAATGTATAAAAAATAGCTCAATCGCCAATAAAGTTTCCACTAATATACATATCATAAGCAGTCAGAAAAGAGGAAAAAAGCAGCAAAGAAAAACTTATAAAAAAAATTACTAATTATAGTCCTAAATGAATTTATAATTACAATTATACTTGGTTGGGATTTGCAACATTGGGATTCTTTGTTAAGGAATTTTCAGTCTCTAGGTAGTTGAGTAGATTGCGGTGTTACAACACCGTGGCTCAGAGAGCTCATGAAGTTGTCAGTCTCTGACGGTTTTACGTGCTCTGGCAACATCCTAATCGCAGACTGTCTTATTTATTTAGGATTGTCAATAGAAAACATATTACATGAAAATTTAAAATATTAATTAGTACATTTATTAAATGCTTTTCTACGTACAGACAATCACAGCGTGCACAATATAACAGATAAAAGTTAAAAAAAAATGAATAAAATTTTTGGTAATCAGAAATTTATTTGGTTGCGTTTTTATTACACAAAAACAAATATCACAAAATCAAAATAATCATAAATTAAATTCAATAGAATAATAAATAATTAAAAAAGTATAATAAAATTAATTGAAATTTAGAATTTTTTTACAGAATTATCCAACATAAACTAAAACATGACAGCACTCGGCACGTCCCGGTACTCCAACTCAGGACTTCCAGAGTGGAATATACTACACTAGCGTTTTAACGGTTAGTATGAAATAAAATATGAATGAAAATGAATTTGAATTTTTCGATTATTTTGTACTATAATATGCATGTATTATATATATAAATCTTCCTCTTGAATCACTCTATCTATTAACAAATCGCATCCGCAATCCGTTGCGTAGTTTTAAAGATGTAAGCATACATAGGGACAGACATACAGCAGACAGCGGGAAGAGAGTTTGTCTTATAATATGTGGCGATGTGTCCACTCGGTACTCACCAGTCGTCGTACCGGCGGTCGGCGCGCACCAGCGGCAGGCGGCGGCCCGCCACCAGCAGCGCGCCGCCCGCCGCGCCCAGCCGCCGCGCCGCGCCGGCCGCGTCCCCGCCCGCCCCGCACCCGCGCGACACCACCAGCCGGATCAGGGACGACCGGTCTATCACCCACACCTGCACCCACACAGATATTCAGACATATATATATGTATGTTCATACGTACACACCGATGTCCAGGTAAGACATGAAGTAAGACGGTCGAATAACGGAATGTGTGCGAAAGCGGTTATTTTAAACTTAGGACTGTGCTTGCGCTTAGATCGTGTAATAGTGTCACATAGTAAAGGAATACACTATAAGAACTTTTCAAACTAAACTGTCAAATTGAAGTGAATTCATTTGAAATGAAATAAATTAGTTTCCAATATTTCTTTTCAAACAGTGTTGCCTTTCTGAAAATTGCTTGCGTTTGCTTTTGTGTAAGTGTTATGTTACTCTAAAAAATATAAAAATTCATTAATGGTTTTTTAAAGCAAGCCGAGGCTTATATTTAATATTCACAATAATGTAAACCCACGATATATTTGAAAGTATAATTAATACATAAAACCATTTATAATTCCAATATTTTTATACCAACTTCTAATAAAATATTTTACACTACCCGTATATTTTTATAACGTACTAGCATTGCCCGCGGCTCCACATACGTTCAGATGACCAAAAACCAAATTCTTAGGTTTTACATATTAGTATACTCTTACAAGTTAAAATGCAGTTTTTGCCGCGGTAAAAAGTATCCTATATGTTGACCCGGTTAACCAGCTATCACCATACCAAATTTCATCAAAAACCCTCCAGTGGTTTTTCCGTGATGCGGTAATAGACAGACAGACAAAAATTCTAAAAACTATAGATTTGGCCTCTGTATCGATAATATTATTTATTTCATTCGGCTAAGTTACAATTTTATTATATGTATAGATAACTGACATAGTACAATGTATTACCGATAAAAGTACTATCTTACAAAGCGAGTATTTTTGAAAGATTATTAAAAACTACCCACATATACTTGCGCGCGCGCCTGCCGATGCGGCGGCGCCAGCTCCTGCACCAGCACCTCCAGCACGAAGCGGTCCTGCGCGTACTCCGACATGTACTGCGCCGTCGTCAGAATACCTGGCGGTACGACAAATATTACTAATATATAGATGACTATATTTTTGATTGTGAAGGTACAAAAGAAGGTTTTACAGACAGACAGATTGTCATAAACATAGATAGAGTGGATTTGTCTTGTTTGTCAGCCGTTAACTAAAAATGACAGAAAGGAGCGACAGAGACAAAATATGCGAAGATAGATATGTATAACCATTTTATATTCCATTACAATATTATAATTTTCAATAAAAAAATATTTCACAGATTCCATTTATAAATTCAAATTGGAATAAAAGACAGGTACACCTATTGGCCGCACGTTCGTTTTCTCTCTCTCCAAATAGTGGTCAATTTCACGACAGTATTGCTCAGTCTATTCTCTATGTCTATGCATAGAGTCGATATATATGCCAAAGTGATTCTATAACTTACGTTTTTATTTTTTCCAGTTTAAGTAAGGAACCTCAAAACATTTTTTTTAATATATTCGGTAAATAAACGAGAGAAAAATTATAAGTGACACCATTGCCAGTGCGATAATACATTAGAAGATGACTTTATTTTATGAATTACAACTATTTTTAAAAACAATATAAGCATCCGCTTTTAACGACGAAGATATACACTATAGTATAAAATATACAAAAAAAAACACAACCGAATTTAGTAACTTCTCTTTTTTAAAGTCAATCAAAATATGATTCAAATAAAAAAAAATTAAAGAGTGTACAATCTATGTTGTCATTTGCGTAGTTTACATTTTGCTGCTGATAGATGGAGTTAAAGGTATGTTGAATCACGCTATCGTTTGGTTCTTTCCAATTAGCTAAAAGGATACTTGAGATATATATTAAATGACGGGCCAAATCACTGGTTGTTTTATTGTGACATCAGAAGGAGACGAAGTGTCTCCTGAAGCAGAAGTGGATCGTACAAACAGTGCGTGTATGAATATGTACACACGCAAGACGTAAAACCTTTGTAAGTTATCGGTACTCTTCATGTAATTCAATTTATGTTTTAAATAATTAGGATATGTGAGATACTAAAAATAACGCATATAAGGCATATTACAATCATATATTTATAGAGTATCATTTAAGGAAAGAATATTATATATCATTTGTCAGACAATAGCAACGGTTACCATGGCAACAAACGTACGTACATTGTTTTCGTAACGCATTCACCAGCTCACCTCCCAAGTCAAGGGTACGTAAAGAAGTTTTACTTCAAAAAAAAAGTCAACCATCTCACCATCCTGGGTAATATTGAATGGCGAGGGCACGACGCTGCCGCTGGACTGCGACGCGCCGAACTTGTACAGGTTGGAGGCGGCTATCATGTATATTATGGTGCCGTTCTCGTCCAGGTCCGGATCTTCTGCCACTATCGATATTATCGGCTCGTTCACTCTGGCCGTGTGTTTTACACCTGGTGTTAAAGTGATATCTTTAGTATAAAGTATAATGTTTAGTTTTAATGTTCATTGTTTTGAGATAATATATATTTTTTTACAGAATACGTCCAAGCTAATCTTATAAACAAATAAAAATGTCGATGTACCAATAACATATAGGATAACTTAATTATTTAATATGGATATTCTACAATGAATTTTACAATGTCTTTTTTACTAAGTTATAGATTATACATAAAAATTGCTTATCTATTTCTGACTGACTATACGCGCAACATTGCCATCTATTATTAAAATTAAAAGTTACTGCAACGAATAAAATCACGCTAGTTACAATTTATCGGCGATTAATAAGAGAATTTTTAATATAATAATTAAAATGGATAAAATCAATATATATATACATTTATATAAGATTTATACACTTGCATTACGCTATGAATTATTTAATTGTGGAAACTTTATTGGTGTTATTGTGTTTTGTTTTTTTTAATTGTATTATATTGAACTGTTCGTTTCCTAAATAAAAATAAAATAAAAAAGAATTGAATTACATTTCATTAAATTCTTCCAAACTAAATTAGCGTTTACATTTTTATTTCTTAAAGGATTACAAGTTTCATTGAATTTATTAATATAAATAAAAAAATACATACCCGCATAATATATCTCCTGCTGGAATTTCGGTTCGTTATCGTTTTCGTCTAGGATTTTGATTTTGACAGACGTCACGCTGACGTCTGGACTGTCCGTGCTGTTGTCTATGGAGTTCAAGATGGCGGCGGCGTGCTCCAGTATCGGGTTGTTGCTGGCGTAAATCGTCATTGAGAATTCGTCTTGTTTCTCCCTGAGGTTTAAAATAATGCCAATTATGATAACTTAAGAAAAAAAACGTTTCAAGAACTTCTCGAGTTTCTTTATTTACATATTTACTTACAATAACAGAAACAAATCAACTCAAAAAAAAAATCCAGAAAATTTTATTTAGTACAGATTTTACACTGTAATAAAATAATAATATTCGAAGTAAACAGCTGTAACATACAGAAGGTTTATCCTTTTACATGGTAAAATTATAATCTATAGTTCCATTTTTGTCTTTGGGCTATGGGACACTAAAAACTACAAAACACCTACAACTAAAATAAAATCAAAACCGAAAGGATACCAAAATTAACAGTTTCTGTTTTTAGATATATTAATGTAGGATTTCCGAGATGAGTATGCGTGAAATTATATTTTAAGAATAAAAGACGAGGTATGATATAATTTTAAGAATGGAAAGGAATGAAAGATGAATAAAAGGAAAGAAACATGTTTTGTCATAACGACGGCACAACGAGACGCGTGAGCATCGTATTTTTCTGATAAAAAAAAACAGTTAATTAGTGTACTATAAACGATTTTATTAATATTCCCGGATCATACATTAATAAACACTAAAATAAAAAAAAGGAATACCTATCAAAAGTCATGTTAGCCCTGATAATTCCACTAGTTCTGTCCACAGTGAAGGCGCCATCTTGGTTACCCTCCAGCACGTGATAATATACTTTGCCGTTGTCGCCCGAATCCTTGTCTATTGCTTTGACACTACCTGAAAAAAAAAAACAACGGTTACCATGGCAACATGGTAATGTATTCTATCTTATTCTCTCGCCGGCTTACCCCTATATATTTATGTATTTGTTTCTTTCTCGTTCCGTATTTCCGTTTCATCGAGTTTCAAATCACGATTCTAAAGAAGTTATACTTCAAAATTGGAAAACCAAATTTCATACACATACATAGTTATTAAGGTTTTGTGTAAATTATATAAATATGACAATGATTGTTGAAGATGTCGAAAAAAATCATGCCGACTGAGGGCTTACTGGCGTGCATGGAGTTAACCAATAGAGTAATACTAAAACAATATATAACAGAATTACTTGTACTTAGTACGCGAGCGAAGACAGAGTAAGTGGATAGTAACAAATAATTATTAATAGATATCTTACCAACAATAATGCCAGCAGGTAGATTCTCTCTGACAGAGAACTGATGGTGTCTTTGAAGGAAACGTGGCGCATTGTCCTCATAGTCCACGAGGACGATGGACAAAAGTCTTAGAGTTTCGAACTGGGCTGGAGTTCCATTGTCTACGGCTGCTATTACTAACTGAAAATTTAAATAAATATAATAAGTAAATATAAATTATCCACATTTAAAAATATGGTATACGTAATATAAATCTGTGTGGTAGTGGTAAACCCAGCGGTAACGCGCTCGCTTGGGTGAAGCGGGTTCAAATCCGAGTCTCGCGCCTCTGGTATTTTAATGTGCGAATAATTTCTAACATGATTGTCGATACTTTATTATTAATATAATCGCTTCACCCAAGCGAGCGCATTACCGCTGGGCTTACCACTACCACACTGATTTATATTACGTATACCATATTTTTAAATGTGGATAATTTATATTTACTAATCATAATTGATTGTTGAAGTGATGAAACAAAATAACGTAGGGAAACCTGCATGTATGAGGGAATCTAGCAAGTTTTCGAAAGACATGCTCAGTCCGCCCGCACTTGGCCAGCGTGGTGGACTATGGCCTGATCCCCCTCCTATTGAGGGGAGGCCCACGCCCAGCAGTGGGACGGTAAAAAGAGTAAAATACAGTTTTTTTACTTATATATATTTACTTGACATGAAAACTTTACCTGATATTCAGCCTGATGTTCTCTGTCTAAGAATGTCTTAGTTCTTAGCTCACCAGTGTTCTGGTCTAGACTGAACTCTTGAGTTTCGCCTACATTTTGATTGTCCACTTTTAAGTAATATGAGATTCTTCCATTTTCTCCCGCATCCTCGTCTGTGGCCTTGAATGTTGTTACGAGATAGTCTGCTTGTACCGCATTCTGATAACATATTAAAATGTATTAGGCCATATAAAAATATTTATAGCACAGCGTGACCTAAAGCCGCACTCAAGTAACGTGTAGAGATATGTGCCTCCCACCTACTAGTAGCATCCATACTAATATTATAAATGAGAAGGTGTGCCTTTGTTTGTTTGTCCTTCTTTAACGTCGAAACGGAGTGACAGATTGGCGTGATTTTTTGTGTGGAGATAGTTGGAGGGCTGGAGAATGACATAGGCTACGTTTTATCGCGGGAGATTATCAAACCACTTTCCCACTGGAAAACACATTATAATACAATGAAAAAAAAATTGTGGTCAGAATTACTTGAAACTTGGTATTAATGGTCTCCAATAAAATTAAATAAATGCGTGTTTTAGCATTTTTCAGAATTCAAATAAGGGGGTAAAATAGGGGATGAAAGTTTGTATGAAACTACCTTTTTAGCGATTTTTTTTAGTTTTAGCGCGAGCGAAGCGGGTTTTGCTAGTAATAAATATATGTAATCCTAACATTAATAAAGTAATCTTACTTCGACACTCAAACATTTCACTTCTCACGTTCTTACAATGTTTATCAGGGATGAATTTAAGAAGACTATTATACTGTTTGTGTTATTAAATTTTATTGTTATTATTATTTTATTGTTATGAAGTAAAATTTTTTGGAGTGATATTTTGATTTTTAATGCTCGATATTACGAATGCTTGTGAAATGTAAACGTGGTTAAAGATAACGGCAAAAACAGTAGACAAATACAAAGACAGGAGATTTAATGATTATTTTTAGTTGGTCATTTTTTTTAATTATTTTTCTTACTAAGCTTTTTTATGAGGCGTAATGTAATGTCTGAATATGAACTCAGGCAGCATATTACGCTTTATAATAAGATTTTTTAAGTAGCACGTATCTTAATGTATTTTATTTAGTTAAAGCTGAAAAGTTTTGATTTATTGATTTAAAAATATTTATTAAGTCATATGTTTGTTAGTACGTAAATTTTTGGATTTTATAATATTTTTAAGTTATAAAGCACGCATTCAGGCAAACATATGTACGAGCACGCACATCACCCACGCATATATCCAGACACAAACACACACACATTTTTTTATTTTAGCCGGAGAAACCTACCATAAACCTTACCGGCCCTGCTACTCACAAAATCCACAGTGCAATAGGAACTTAGGATGAGTGCCGCAGTCAGTAACAACTAACCAGCACACGCGCGTACCTCGGGTATCTCTATCTCGGCGAGGCGCGCGTCGGGCGACACGAACACGGGGCTGTGCGCGTTGACGGCCAGCACGGCGATGTCCACGGCCGCGCCGTCGCCGCGCGCGCCGTCCCACGCGCGCACGCGCAGCCGGTGCCGCGCGCCGCCCGTCACTGGCCGCGCGGGCGAGATTATACCCGACACTGGGTCCACTGAGAATGTGCCTACGGGGTGATAACACAATACAACGATCTGCCACGACGGGACGATACTTCACCACGACCGGTGAGTGTCGGCGCGGGACCGACGGCTTTACGTGCTCTCCGACGCACGGGGGGGAAACACCGCCAACTTCCCAACTCCGGGCTGTTACTGAGAATATCTTAATCAGAAAATCCTTCGATCAACAATACTACTAGATAACGTGTCACATACAAAATCAAAGTTAAATTCTGTCCGCGCGAATATGTGCTTATACAGCAACATTTGTATACTAACGAACCGAAATAAAGTCTTAAAATATTTTTGTTTTCGTAAGTTTTATCATATTTATTGTAACCATAGATTAAAACACATAAAGCACTTTCTCCCGTAGTTGCTTTGTGAGCTAAATCGTTGTTTTGTTTCTGTTTCTGTTTGTAACGTTCTTAGCGGATTTAAAATTCTTCAAAATTTCATTTTTATATTATTACGTAATACGTCGATATCTAGTAGTATTGTTGATCGAAGAGAAAATTTCAGTAATAAAATTTGGCCCGACCTGGGACTCGAACCCAGGACCTCAGCATTTGCCACCATACACGTTAGCCACTAGACCACCTAGGGAAATGTAGAACATTATCATATACATATATTAGCATAACTCACCCGGCTCCGTCTGCTCCACAATGCTATATTCAATTCTCGCGTTGTCCCCTTCGTCCTTATCCTCTGCTAATATCTGCAAGATGGCAGCCGGCGGGTCCAACTGAAGGTTCTCTGCTATCGTGCTTTTGTATACTTTCTGACTGAACACAGGTGGGTTGTCGTTTACATCGAGTACTTTTATGTGCACCTGAAATTTGTTTTTCTTTTGTTGTGTACAATAATAGAAAGAAGAAATTAATATTGTTATTGTACACGTATGTGTCTATTGACCCTTCATTTAGACTGTTACTATTTGTACTTAAAATATATACGACGAATAAAAAATTATTATCCGTACTGTTTTCTAATGTAAAATCAGTGATTTTTAGGTGCAGGTGTTTCTATATGCAAAATAAAAAAATAACCTTAATTATTATTATAACTATATTAATTATCAAGCTGGAAAATTATTCTTATAAATCCCAAAGATTTTTAAGTTAAAAAAAAATATTAAACTACTTACGGGCACACTTATTGACTTCTTCAAATGCGCGGGCGCATTATCCGTGGCGGTGACTCGGAACCACAGGTCAGGGGTTTGTTCCCGGTCGATGGTAGCGTTTTCCGCCACAGTGATAACACCAGATGTAGAGTCTATGTCGAATAGAGACGAAGATTCGCCGGATAGACTGTATGTTACTTGGCCGAAGTCCCCTAAAAATATTTTTTTAAAGTTATATTATGCTTATAAAATATGAAAATTTTATGTGGACACTATCAATTAGCAAAAAGTATGCACTTGTTTAAGAGTGCAACACTTACAATTGTTTCAAAAAAGATATACAATTTTCTTTAAAAAAAATCGTTACACTATGGAGGTATAACCCATAAATCAAAATAGATAATAATAATATTATTAGTATCTATTTGAATATAGACTAGTGCTAATTGTTATCAAATCAAATTAACAATTGGCGAAAACATCACATGACATACATACTCGTATATACAAAGAAAACGAATTGAATACCTCTTTTTTTAAATCGGTAAAAATAATAATTTATTTGGTATATAATACCTTCGTCTTTATCAATAGCGGTTACAGTCAACACGCTAGTATGTCCTTCGACATTTTCCTCTAACTCTGTGTAATACGACGAATTACTGAACTTGGGCTCTTCGTCGTTAATATTGATCACTTCGACGAAAACACCAGCAGACGACGAAAGCTGTGGTACTCCGGAGTCGAAGGACACTAATGTGAAGTTGATGGAATGGACCTTCTCGTAGTCGATACGTTGGATAGATTTGACGACACCTAGTAACGTATTGAAGTGTTAGTGGGATTTATTTTCATTTTATTTATTTTGGATCACCAATATGTGTACAGTAAATTAATAAAAATAAATAATTGTACAAAGCAGATCTAACTCTAACCGGTATCAAATTTATAGGTAGCCACGACATGTATAAACAGTTACACGGAGTATCAGTAATTTTTTTTTATTTTAAAAATAAAAAATTTACAATACTATAAATTATTAAAAAATTTTTTTATAAATTACTATAAATTATTAAAAAGAAAAACAAAAAAAAAACTTTAGAAACCTGTATGTTGACCCGGATAACCAGCTATCACCATACCAAAATTTTATCAAAATCCCTCCAATAGTTTTTTCGTGATGCGGTCGCAGACCGACAAAAATTCTAAAAACTATAGATTCGACCTCTGTATCTATAATAATGACAATTTCAATAAGAATTTCCAAAAAAAATTTTATGTACAAATTCAGCATTCAGTGTATGTAAAGGAGCCAAATTAGGTCCTCCTATTTTTAAAATCAATAAAAAAACAACTCAGAATGCTAAGATTAACGTAATTTAACTTGATGTTTCATTATGTGGTACCATTCAGGTATTTTTATATTCAAAAATTTTATGTATTATCATATCGCGGTGGTAAGGTTATATTATGGTTATCTGTGGAAACTTGGTTGGTTCTAGGATTACTTTCATATGTTTTATAATGTACTTATTTATTGTACTGTTCGTTTACCTTTAAAGCTAATAAATAAATATTTACCAGTAACATTATCTATTTCAAAGTACGGGCTCGGCGGTTGTATGATGATGGCGGCGATAGGCGTCTCCCTGTCGCTGGCCGTGTACGTGTTGAGGACGGTGCCTATGGGTTGCTCTTCTAGAATCTTCTCTACATACGCTGGCTGGCCGAAGACGGGCGCATGTCGGTTTACGTCCACTATGTTGATTATTAATTCACCTGTGGATTGCGATATTGTTAGTATATTATATAACACTAGCGACTCACTCTCGCTTCGTCCGGGATCGTCCCTAGATATGTTTTAACGGTTAGTAATTAGTATAGAATAGAAAAACTCTGTGAAAAACAAAAACAAACCTATGCCACGGGAAACGTAAATTTTGTAATGAAGTTCCTTATGGCACGATGCGGAGGGGTACCCTAGCCGGCAAAAAACGTCCGTAACGAAAATGCATGGAGTAAGATTTTTTATTATTTTATTTTATATAGTTTTATGAATCATTGTGAATAAAATAAAAGTTTTAAGATAATTTTGTTAATTAGTTTTTGATTTAAATCGATAAAAAAATCATAATAAGAAAATTGTACCCGAATAATTATTTTCTTTTTACCTCGACTAGAACTTTAAATTAATATTTATGTAATAAGGAACGACGTTCCTGTCTGTTGTCCAACGACACCTTATTTTTTTTTTTAAATTGGTTCAGAACAAATAAAAATAAATAAAAAAAACGTGTGTGTGTACTTATGTACGCACGTAAGAAGTTATACTTCTTTGGCGTAACAAAACAAAAGTAGCTTAAGATTTCACCCGTATGTCACAACTCTCTGTTTGTAAAAGGAATGCAGCTAATCTTTATCATGTCGCTTTTTGGCTGTCGCTGTGCACGCGCATCGTAAAAATTTATTCTCATAATTTTTTTCTAAATGTATCAAAAGAAGTATAACTTCTAAAACATTTTTTTTTCTTTATGATATTAGTATAGATATCCTCTCACCCTCCGCCCTCTGCAGCGAGGGTGCGGACGAGTCCAGCACCCCCACGGGCAGCGTGACGACGGCGGCGCGCGCGCGATCCAGCGCCCGCGACACCGACACACTGCCCGAATCGGATATCGAGAACCACTCGTCGAATGCGCCTTGTGAAGACACCTGTATATTGGGTGAAGTGAAATAAAATGAACCTTATTCAATAGGGAATATGCGTGTGATTTAAATACAGGTGAAATATTTTTTTTATAATCTTTGTGTCTTTTGAATTAAGCCTATTTTTTAATGTAATTTCTTTTTGATTAAGAAAATAAATATTAAAGTGTAAATATAGGTGGAAAGTTTAAAATAGTTGAAACGCACGCCATTGGTAAAACCGAATATGTTGTTAAGAGTACATATAATATCATAACAGAGACAGAGATAGCGATTTTTTCGCTACAAATTGCGTTGTCATTTTTTTACGTACGATTTACTTTGACGTCACGCCAAGCGAAAAAATAGCGAGCATTTAAAGTATTCGTATCGGTATGATTCATTTATACAAATTTATACAAAATTTTATCTTTTAATTTTTTTACAATTATATAACGATGTTAGCTATTTGACAAAAAAAATAAAAAAAATCACGCAAAATATTCCCTGTTAGACTTATACATACTTTTAAATCTTCAATTTTATTTAAAGAGCGCCAGTGTAGTCAGTCCGTGAGGAAGCTACCACCGGCTTGGAAAGAAGTTCTGTTGAGAAGAGCCAGCGAATAACTCAACAGATGCTCTTTTAAATATCCAGTTACATTTTTTAAAATAACATGATAGCTAATAAATATGTACCAATTCCACACATTTCTTTCTATCATCACACCAACACACATACACACGTATTAAATTAATTTCTTATAATTTAAGCGCGAGGTGTTAATAAAATAAAAAACTAATAAGCTAAGACACTTTGCGAAATCCTATTACCTATAAAATAGGTTTTCGCAATCTGCGTATACTCAGGATCGCCAAAACTTATTCACTTTTTGGAAACGAAATCTCTTAGATTTATGCAACTTATAATTAATTAACATTTTCCTCAATAATATTTTCATTGAACGGATAAAAACGTAATATGATAGTATAAAAAATGTAGAAAACACGAATTATGAAAACTATATTACTAAAAATACTAATTACTCGTATCATTTAATCTACACACAGTTCATACACAAGCCATCCACTATCCGTGATACCCGAATAAGTAACATCATACACAAAAAATACACAACTAACCTCTATCCCATTTTTATCCACGGCCCGTATCATCCTGTTCGTATCCAATTCATACACAAGTTGTCCATTATCCGTGATATCCGGATCTACGGCTACCAGGGTGTGGAACACGGTGCCTATCTCTGCGTCCGCGGATACTTCAGCCCTTTGTATGGGAGGGGTGAAGGAGGGTTTCTTGTCGTTAACGTTGATTATGCGGACAGTTAACTCTGTTGACCCGGTTAAACTTGGTATACCTGGAAATTACAAAAAATATTTAAAAACCAAGCTTTTGGTCAACTACAATATGTGCGATTTGTCAAAATGACTCTATTACTATTTTACTACTCCATTAGTCACAAATATATTGTCATACGAATCTTAGTCTATATACTAATATTAAAAATATTGTCGACTGGCAACGACTTCGAAATTATCTGATTAGGTCTATCTATTCAAAATTAAAACCTCCATTTAGTTATTTTTTACATTTTAGTGCCTGGAAGTCGTTTGTTTTTTTAAGTTTTTATTAGTTTTTGTAATTTGAAGACGACAGAAAATACGCTATTACAATTTTACGTCAACGTGTAAGTAGTGCAATAAATGAGTTAATAATATAATACTATCGATTGTAAAAGTTAAGTAATGAAATACAGACACATTGTAAGAAATTCGCATGCACTCAGCGATGGACATTCTTTGATTACCTTCAACATGTAGTTACAATGTAAGCAGTTTTATGTTTATGATATCCTATTACACCTAACAATTTTTATGAGATAAGGGCAGATAGAAGAGATCTTTGTTCCTACCGGTTGTCCCACGCCAACGATAGACTTTTTGTCAATTTTTACTAGCGACTCACCCTCGCTTCGCTTGGGTTCGTCATTAGGTACGTTTTAATTTTTTTGAGCGGAAGCCTAATTCATTTTCTAAAATAAAAGTAGCCTATGCTACTCCCTTTAACATCAGCTATCTTCCAGTGAAAGTCCCATTAAAATCAGTCCAGCCGTTCCAGAGATTATCCGGAACAAACAGACAGACAAAAATTAAAAAAAAATGTGTTTTTATTATAAGTACCGTATATAATTTCATATGCATTTAGTAAAACGCTGTTATTTTGACATAACAAACAGACACTTCAATTTTATTTATCTGTATAGAGTATAGATGTATAAAAGATAGATGCAAAAGAAAACAATCAAAAGCAATTACCCATATCAGTAGCAGTTATTTGTATTCTATATGTATTGCGTCTATCGAAGTCCAGTTTGGAGGCCACGGTCACCACTCCGGTTGCGTTGTCTATCGCGAAGGCCTCCAACGCGCCCTTTTGTATGTCGTATTTGATTTCCGCGTTCATCCCACTGTCGAGATCTGTCGCTTTCACCGCTGCTACTTCCATGCCTAGGTAAAAAAATATATATAATTAAAAATAATTAGATAGTGATAGATAGTCCAGTTGTAACGCGCTCGCTTGGGAAACAGAGTGAAGCGGGTTCTAATCCCGGGTCTCACACCTCTGATATTTTTATGTGCGAATCGTTTCCAATTTGATTATCATTTATCTTAAGGTCAAGGAGAATATCGTGAGGAAAGCTGCATGTCTGAGGAAGCCTAGCAAGTTCTCTAAGACATGGTCAGTCCACCCGCACTTGGCCAGCGTCGAGGACTATTGAAGGGAGGTCCACGCCCAGAATGTTAAATGTTAAAAGGGCTGAATACACAGAAGGTTATTATTTCACTTCTAGAGTTAGCTGTTTTCTTAATTTTTATATAAACATTTTTTTTATTTTACTCAGAATTCTTCTAATACTATAATAATTATCTAATAATAAATTATTTCCTCTCCAATAATATCGTATCAGACTAATAATATAAATGAGTGCGTTTGTTAATTTTTACGCTGTAAGAAAGAGCCCAACGGATTTATGTGATGTTGGGAATAAAGATACCAAGATATATTGCATTAAAAAATTTCACTATATATTGCAATTTTTAAACCACATTCGTAAATGTATGATTTAATCACATTACTCTGATATTATAAATGTAAAATTTTGTGAAATTGATTGATTGAGAGTGATGGGTTTGTTTGATTTTAAGCTATAACCGATTAACAGGTTTAAGTGAAATTTGAAAAGGATATGGCTACTCTTTATTTTCATACCAACAAACGAAGCCATACGAAAAAACTAGTTATATTATAAAATCTTACCAATGGGTGCGTCTTCCGTGATGCTCGCTTCATACTTATCGGTCTCAAAAACTGGCGCATGGTTGTTCACGTCACGGATGGTTATTTCCACTTTGCAAGTTGAATTATGTACTCCATCTGAAGCCTGGAATTATGATATATGTAATAAAATAGTAACAAAGCGGAAATCTGTACATGAATATTAAAAAAAATACCGTTACGTGTTGTGTACAGAATATAGAACCCAAAATAATGGCTTTCGAAAATTTTGTAAGTTTGGCTGTAAATCTGTGTGTTTTACGCCAAATCTATTGAATCGATTTTAACTAAATTTTGTGTAGTTATAATTTATTACTCGGGTGAATATTTTGGATACCTTTTACACAAAATAATGTACTAGAAAATTGTAGGTCTTAAAAAGACCTACACATAAGTCCACAATAGCACTCATACATACATAATATGTCTATCTACTAAGGCACACTCGCAATAAATATTTTTATCTATTTAAAACGTCAGGCATCAAGTAGTGGTAACATTACTCGCTTGGGAAACCGAGTGATTCAAGTTCAAAGCCACGGTTCCGCACCTCTGATATTATCATGTGCAAATCATTTTGCAACATGATTACAATTTGCCTTACGATGACGAAAAAACACCTTAAGGATACCTACATGTCTGACCTGAGCATATCTTTCGAAAACTTAGCAAGTTTTGGAAAGACATGCTCAGTCCGTTCGCACCTAGTCAGCATGATCAACTATGGCCTGATCCTCGTATTGAAGGGAAGCCCACGCCCAGCAGTGGGACGGAAAAAAGAGTTAAATACATACCACAACAGTAAGATCAATGCGGTTATCCTCGGTGGAGTTGAGCATGGCGTGTCCCAGCACTGATATTCTCCCAGATATAGGCTCGATCCAGAAGGGAGAGTTTGGCGGATATACTATGGAATACCGGATATCTGATGTTGTATCGACGTCTCGGGCTTGGACCTAAAGAGAAATTTCAAAAATTCAATATGTATGGTCGACTTTTAGTCCGTATAGTCATATAGTGGTAATGGTAATATATGTTATGTATGGTTTGGTTAAAGGGCCAAATCTTTGCCAGATATGTACTCTACTGTCAACTCTATTTTCTATTCAATTGTCTATAAAAATGACGATTTAAAACATTTAAAAAATATATGTTTCGCTTTTACTTATATGATGTATTTTATAGCCAATGAGAAGCCTAATTTAGAAGCTTAGAGACACCGGGTCAATTAAGGCGCCCTTATAATATTAGAACGAAATATTTTTTTTAAAGCGTGTCTAATTTCCAGAACACAAAAGATATCCATAAATAATAATCTGAAAATCTTAAGCGGATCTTTAAATCTGATTTAAGATTCTTACCACTAATTCTGGTTCAAACTTAACAGCATCTTCATCTATGGACGCTTTGTACACCGGTGTGGTGAACACTGGCGGGTTGTCGTTAGAATCTGTTAGCGATATCTGTAGAGAGACCACTGTACTCTGCCCTGTTCCATCGTCGTCTGTGGCCTGAGGAACAAATGGTATATTATAAAGAGGCAGAGTTTGTTTGAACACGCTAATCTAAGGAACTGCCAATTCGATTTGTCTATCTATTCCATACTCACCGTTAAAAAGTACCTAAAGACGAACGAATCAAGGGTGAGTAGTCATGTATATTGTAAAGTTAATAAATTATTTGTCTTCCTTTCACAATAGTTATGGTATATTGACACTATAGACTTTAACTCGGTATACGAAGTAGTTTCTGTTAGATATTAGAGTATAAAAGGCTCAAGCGAAAAAAGGCTGATGCTAGTCTTAGATTTGTTTATTTGTAATTGATAAACTTTGACCAGATTTGAACAATTTAAACAAACCACGTAATTAGGTAAGGTTTCACGATTAAAGGCAGACCCACACTATAGTGCCGATCACGGTTCGCCCTTAGTCCAATATTGGTCAGGTAAAGTATTGTTAGAAAAATTAGAAACAATGAGGGGTATTCACACTATCAGTAAGATTTCCGATCGAATTTTACTTCAGCAACGACTCTTGTATAAAAAAACGTTACCAGACCGGTATCCGGCCGAAAACGGACTGTGATCGACACAATAGTGTGAATCGGACTTAATTCTCATCGAATCCAATACAGCTTTGCTAATTTAAATCGTTATTATTAAGAGAGTTCTGATATACCAATTTTCACGCAACCCTCGGGCAAATATAAACCAAAGTCACCCAACGTTTATATAACATTCCATACCTTATACTGTAGGAAGTAGTCCTTCCTAGTTTCGTAGTCCAGACAAGGAGGTAAGCCCGGCGTCTCGCAGGCCGCCACCGTGATCACTCCGCTGCGGTTGTCCACGTGGAACAGCTCCGCGCCGTGACCTGACAGCTCGTACACTATGCCTTCTGTGCCGAATCTTTAAAATGTTAATATATATACAATAAATACGTATATGGTTTTTAAGTGATTCTTGAATCATGTTAAATATCATATTTAGGTATTTAAGAAATAGCCACAAAAAATGATAAAAATCGGATAGCTATTATAAATGTTAAAAGTTTTCTATATGTGTTAGTTATTCCTTTACGCTGCAGGTACCCGAGGAAGCATCAATCAACTCAGCAATAGTCAAAAATTTAAAATCAGATTAAGCGGGAATAAAGAACGAATAAATGAAATAAATGAATAAATGAACGATCGAATGAATGAATAAATGAAAGATTGCCTGTATGAATGAAAAGACATGGAGCGTGTGCAGACCTGCCGGAGTCGCGGTCGACGGCGCGCAGCGCGAGCAGGCGCGTGCCGGCGCGCGCGGCCTCGGCCACGGCGGCGGCGTGCGGCCCGCGCGGGAACTGCGGCGCGTTGTCGTTGACGTCGCGCACTGCCACCGTCACGCTGGCGCGCGAGCGCAGCCGCGGCCGCGTGTGCACCTCCTCCGCTATCACCTGCCACGGTGTTCAATACATGTTAGCTTTTTTTTAATGTTGAGATATACCACAGTTATGTGGGAAGACTCATCGATTGGAAAGCTACCTACTAAAACCCAACAGCGCCCCCGTGTTAACGGGACGTCGCAGAATCATTTACGCATTCAACCACGATACCCAGACGAGAAGCTAGAGAAGTACCAGGAGCTACACGACAATCTGAGTCCACATAGTACTCACCGATGTGGGCCACCTCCCAGTTTGTATTGAGCCTCCCTCCCACTAACATATCGGAGTGGGATATTAATATTAACTATTGTAACTTCAGGTCACCCATTTAAACGAAACGAAAAACGTAATGTATTTTAAAAATTTATGATACGATTAAAAATTAATGCAGATTGATCCAATCTCACATTATTTTCGCGCTAAATACTGTTAAGCAAATAAGCATTAGGCTCTAACTTAAACAAACCTCCAACAAACCACAAAATAAAACTAAACTTGGCTATACTTGGACTCAGTATCGATATTGACGAGATCGAAAAAGATTAAGTTTTTATTAAATTTTCCGACCAAAGGAAATCTGGGGGCAACGTTTGCCTATTGAAAAAGAAAATAAATACTGCCCGCAGCTTATAAAAATCTCGCGTTTATCAATTTAAATAAGAACCTTACCTCCAGTATAAACTTCCTTTGATTAGGGTCTTCATAATCCAAAGTGGAATTCAATCGCAATGTAACAGTAGCGGTGCCCGTAGCTATTGCTGGCTCCACTATGAATGCTCCCATTTCATCGGACAGACGAAGTGAGAACACTGAATTTAAGCCCTGCAAAAATATTTTCATTTTAGAATTAATTTCAAATGATGTTATCGTTATTTAAACTATATCAAATTTTTAAGTCACGACGACGACACGTTTGGCTCAGTTTGTAGTGACCCTACTTACTGTGCCAGCTGTCGCGGGTTTGAGTTCCGCTGTGGGCACTAGACTGCGATGAGGATATAACGCTGCTAACTTTATCATATTTACGTAAATATGTGTTTATGATATGTAATTATATGAAGCTAGCCTCTAGACACATAAAGAAGAGAATAGAGGACAACTCACCACATCAGTATCAGTGACGAGCATGTCCAGGCCAGGCAACGGAGTGCCTCGTGGTAGACTCTCAGGTAACGTGACGTTATACTCGCGCCGGTTGAAGCGCGGCGGCTCGTCGTTGACGTCGCGTATGGTGAGCGTGGCTAGCGCTAGCGAGGACGTTAGCGGGGTTACTAGTGGCACGCCCTTTACTATCTCGCTTGCCTGTGGGTTTGTATAAGTAAAAGTATTATTAACGGTTAGTATGAATAGATAGACTATATCCATACTAATATTATAAAGGTGAAAGTGTGTTTGTTTGTTTCTTTCACGTCGAAACGGAGAGACGGATTGGCGTGATTTTTTGTGTGGAGATAGTGGAAGGGCTGGAGAGTGACATAGATTTTTCCCGCGGGAAATTATCTAATTCCTATGAGAAAACACGTTATAAGAGAACCCAAAAAATATTTATGATCAGAATTACTTGAAACTTGGTATTAATGCTCTTCAATACTATGAAATAAATATATGTTTTAGCATTTTTCAAAATTCATCCCATAAAAGGGTAAAATAGGCGATGAAAGTTTATATGAAGCCTACCATTTTAGAGTTTGTTTTTGTAATTTAGCGCGAGCGAAGCCGCGGATTCTACTAGTACTATATATACATAGGTATGATGAGTTGTTGTGGGTTGTAATATAACATAAATTAACGATCGGATTACAAGTTATATCATTATATTATAATTCAAAATTAAACGCAAAAAATAAACACAAAATATCTTAAAGAAACTTTTTTTGGAAATTCACTTTGAGAAATTTTAACTTTTACTAACACTACCAAAATACAATATATATTATGTAATTAAAATTAACTATACTTGAATGTTATTATGTATGTATATAAGCGTGTTTTAATTCGATTAAGCGAGTTTATACACAACATTTAAAATTATGAATACAATATAGCAATTTGTAATGTAATTCGTTTATAGATTAAATATTATGTACTTACCCTAATAGTGAGATTGAGCGGAGACGAAGGATCAGCTAGAGCTTCCCTATCTAAAGGCTTAGCTGTTTTCAATTCTCCCGTTTTACTATCAAGCCAGAAGAAGTCCAGAGGATCTGTAATACAATAAAGATAATAAATAATTAAATATACAGTATATTTAATTCATTTATTTTAAATTGAAAATTATAATTTATATTGGGTATTAAGACCATTTGACTTTTTGCAGGTCAGCTGTTAAAGTTTTTATTTTAAAACTAGTTCGCTGCGTTCGGGTTAAACTCGAGGAAAACAAAAACAAATATATCCCACAGGAACCGTATATTTTTCCAAGATAAAAAATAACCTATGTGTTATTTCAGACTATAATCTCTGTGCCAAATTTCATCCTGGCCCCTTCAGCCGTTCTAGCGTGAAAGAGTAACAAACATATAATTGCCATTACAGCATTTCTCTGCGCCGTTAAATGTTATGGATGTAATTATAATTTATATTATATAATTTATATTGTCACGTTTTTTTATCTCATCTCAGTGTCAAAAAATACATACTAGTCATCAATTCCAATTTAACATCTCTGGGCTGAGCTCTGTCCCCGTCTCGTGCCTTCACCACCAGAGCGACGGTGCCCACCGGCGCGTCCTCCGACAGGGCGCCGGTGAGCGACCCGCTGAACACTGGCGGGGTGTTCTGCACGTCTATGACCTTGACCTCTATGTGTGTTGAAGAGTTGAGGGTGCCGTCCTGGAGGAATAAGAGAATAGGACAACATTTGTGATACATATAGACATAAAAAAATTAGAATAAATTTAAAGGCGAAGTGAGCGTCGAACTCGCACACGAAAGGTTCCGTACAAATTAGCCACCATGAGTTTTTATTGTATGTTGTTATAGCGACAATAAAAGTACACGCTCTGAAAATAGGGTCCCGTTAGCACTCTTCGCGTACAGAACCCTAAAAAAACAAATGAACATAAAATGATATCTGTACAGCAATAGTACATACACATCACACATCCATGTACATATATATACCATATATACATGGGTACGTATTATGATGTCACTCAATTTGATATGTTTTGATGCTCCAAGACTTGTATTGATTAAACCTGCGTAAATAACTAATACCAAATTAATTAATGGCGATTATTTGATAATAATATTATTATTTAATATATAAATGGTGGTTATGAAATAATACGAACATTATTTAATAATAAATCACCACATCAGTATCAGTGAGTAAAGTAAACATTGAGTATGAGTAAGTAAACATTATGAAGACAATGTTTTATAAACAATAACTTAGATATTATATCTGCTATGGTTTAGAATCACAATATTACTGTTATATCATAATTCAACTATCACTAATGAAAAGCCTTTTTAAATAAAAGATATATAAAAATCCATTCAATATGGCCAAATTGACGAATTTGTGTCTTAATTTTAACACTTTCTTAGATTTAAGCGAATATTTAACGTTTTAAATATAACTATGTTTTCGAATTATTTCTCGGATTTATTTTGATTTATAATGATTTATAATGATGCGAAATAATCTGAAAAGATAGTTTTATTTAAAATATTAATTTTAATTCAGTTAAAAACTACTACCAACTACTACGACAAAACTAACTAATACGACGAAGTCTAGAATCTAGAATATGATCTACTTAGGTCCTAGAAAAACTCACTGTAGCATAAATCTGGAATTGGTAGAACTGTTTGTCATTGTAATCCAGTTTCTTCCTCAATACAAGTGCTCCATTGTACAGATTCGCTGTCGAATGTAAAGTGACCACTTCAAAGACCTCACAAGCTTCTGGCCACTGAAACAAAATTACAGCTAAATAATAATGTCTATATAAATAATAAATGAAATTGTGTTCGTTTGTAAGAGCATTACTTGAGAATGGTTCAACCGACATGGCATTTTTTTTAAATGTAGAAGATATATGGAGAAGATAAAAAATTAGATATCAAACAGTCTGTCGGGTTAGTTTGTCTATATTATTTACTATACTACTATAAAGAGGAAAGATTTTTTGTTTGTTTGTACCGAATAAGCTCCGAAACTACTGAATCGATTTAGATGAAATTTAGTAAGAAGATAGTTTGAGACCCTCGGAAGGATATAGGATAGTTTTTATCCCGGAAATCATTCCTTAAGGGGGTGAAAATGGGGATGAAAGTTTGTATAGGGAAACAACCTAGGGACGAACCCGAGAGAAGCGACGGTGAGTCGCTAATTCGAAGCAAAATAATAGGTTCTTAATGAAAAAAAACTAACATATTATACATATTCTCTCCCCTTTCTGTCGACTCTAGAACACAAATCTCTCGGAATGTACTTCATTGATAGAAAAAAAAATTAGGATTCTGATTCAATAAATCTTAATCCCTTAACACACCGGCGTTACAGTTAACAATAGATTTCTTAGAAATTTAATTGATTTCATAGAAATTTACCTGGGGGTGTTAGCAATAACTATGTGAATATATAAAATTGCTATATTTATTTTAAATGTACCTGTTCATTTGGCACACAACCGACTTCTAAACTATCTCCCACAGAGTCTTTATCCTCCACTTCGATGTTTCGCAATATTGTCGTCCCTATTTCTTCATCTTCTGGGACATCCACTTCATATGGGACCTAAAAAATTCAAAGAAACATTCAAAATAAAGATATAGGTACTAGTTTTATTTTGATATTTATCTTGATATATACATTTATTTGTTTGTTTGTTCGTTCAGTCGTTCGTTCGTGTTCGTTTGTTTATTTATTTATTAAATTCACCAGTGGCAATTACAATCTTATATTTTATTATTATATACGAGGAAAATAGATCTCATAGATAAATTGCATTAGTTTTAAGGTTGAATACCACATGCAAATATGGAGATTTTACAAAATATTTATATTATACGTATTAAATTAGTTATTAGATTAGTTATTAGATTTATATTATACGTATTATATATAGGTATTAAATTAGTAATATAAATTTTTAAATAATATACGCAACAAATTATACCGACAAATTAAAATAATATGTACAAAATATTCTGTAATAGGTTACAAATTCGAATAAAAACAGAAGAATTACAAAAGAAATCGTTTTTTTTTACATTTTTTTTGGACTTAAGTCCATAAGTAACAAAGTCCCTGAATTTACATTTATACATAATTATATTTTTCGTATACAATAATTGCATAAATTTATTTTAAATAATATATTTTTTGCGAAAGTAAGCTACCGACTACCGGCATGGTTCTTCTGAGAGCTTCCGCAATTTAATAGTGTGCGAAACAAACGAAGGACATCTAGAGAGTAATATTACATATCGTTGGCTCACTATTACAAGGTTCTATGTTAATTTTAATAAAGTTTAGTAATTTTTACATAGAACTTCGTTATTTTGTTATCGTATGAAAAAACAACATAGAACTATGTAAGATTAAATATTTTATAGTCATAGTGCCGCTATCTAGTGGTTTGTTTTTGGAAAACTGTAGCTAATGACACATAAAACCTTGTCGCATTAATAACTAAATAAATACTAAAATTGTAACATAGAACCTTGTAATTGTGAGCCAACGAATTATGTACATATATTACATTAAAGTATTATAAATAAAGTACATTACTATTTCAATACAGCGGCAGTGGTAGTCCAGTGGTAACGCGCTCGCTTGGGAAACCGAGTGAAGCGGGTTTAAATTCCGGGTCGCACCTCTGATATTTTCATGTGCGAATCATTTTCAACATGACTTCTTAACTTACGGTGAAGGAAAACATGGAAACCTGCATGTCTGTGAGAACCTAGCAAGTTTTCGAAAGACATGAAGCCCCTCCGCATTTGGCCAGCGTGGTGGACTTTGGCCTGATCCCCTGCCCAGCAGTGGGACGTCAAAAAGGTTGAATATATTATTTCAATACTTACATTCTTAAATATGGGTGGGTTATCATTTTCATCTAACACAATGACTGTGACTGGTTGAGTCTGAACTAAAGGGTTTGAAGTTTCCGGATCCTCATTTTCTATTGACACTAGGAACTTTATTGTGTCTTCTTTCTGAAATTGATAAAAAGTACTTAAAAAATCAGCATTAACCTTACATTTTTTGTATGTTAAATATTATTTAATTGTTAGTTACTATCTAAATTTAAAAAGAAATGATCCAAAATTAGAGTAAATCGCCAAAACAGTAGATAGTTTAATATAAAACAGAAGTTATATTTACCTCTCGATCTAAAGGCTTAACAAGTGTCACTTCCCCAGTGGCGGAATTGACTGAAAATTTATCTGTGCCCACCAATCCATATTTTATCTGGAAAGAAAAACAATTCTAAATATTGTATTAATTTAAAATGGTCACTGCGACCAATCTTACGAAGACTAGTCATTAGAGCGGGAGAGATTATAACGTGACAAACAAACAAAACTGCACTCTCTATTCCTTTACTCTCGTCGTCGTAGAAAAAATCACAGCTCCCAGGTTTTCACAACTCCGGGCTTCTGCTATCTTGACAAAAATCCCCAGTAACTAAACGTTTAGATTTTAGCCCCAACCGGGATTCGAATGAAGGACTTCATAATCTGCAGCAGTACTTGCTAACCACCAGACTTACGAAGCAGGTTCAGGATTCAATAAGTAAACTGAGACTTACTGGTAGCCCCTCAGGATCAGTGGTACCTTGAAGCGTGTACACAACATCTCCCACTGGCATGCTCTCTGATAACGCAAGATTATCCATATCCTGTGTGAAAACTGGCAGTTTGTTGGTTGTCCCTAAAAATTAAAAAGTTTAAGATATAATACTTTCTTAGATGTAGACGAGATATTTTAAAGCAACGCTATTTTGTTGGATATCCCCCGGTTCTTTTAAGGTTTTTTTTGTTCTCGACATTTACAATGCTTAGAACACACATGGTCACGGGAGAAATTATGATTTTTGACGACTCAATAGTTACTATAGGCCATGTAATATTTTTAATATCCACAAAAGTCGTATAATAATTTGAAAGGAAAGAGAAATGGCACAAAAGATACCTCACAATTTAACCAAAATATTTATATTACTCGTACACCGGAACCACTTCAATTCAATATCTCAGCACTACTTGAATAATTCAAATAGCCTATGTCTCGTCTGGCATCAACAAATACATGTCGCTTATTTATGATATTAGGAGAGATAAAACGTAAAAGAAAAGTACATTTAAAAAAACCTACTTATATTTTTTCCTTTAAGTATAATTTAAATAATATTTATTTATGTTTCGAAGTTAGCGTAAATAATAATACTGCTAAATTGTTTCAGCTACAAAACTACTTTTTTTAAGAAAACTAAACATGTAATAGAAAATAGCAATAGATTAGAGCATTAAAATTTTTCGGTAAAAAATGCGAATACAAAGGCCTCTTAAACTGGCTATAACATTTGTGTTAATGAGTAACTGTAGGCTCTTTGTTTTTAGCAACTTTTACTTTGGAAATAGGTATTTTTTGCTTGTTTAGAGAACACTACCGTTATTTCTGAAATTCGTTCACTGAGTGTCGAAATGAAACAATTATATTTCAGTGTGATCTCAAACTAAAATAGCAAGAAGAAGGTAAGTAATAACTAATCAAAAATATCTTATAATGTCAAACGAGCAATTTGTATACCTATATAAATTTTCATGTATGTATTTCGGAAAATGCTGTAACGATTTGGATTAAATTTTGTAAGTTTATCTATATAGGTGTATTTTCTGAAAAACACGTATTTTTTATATATTTTCCGGAAAAAGCCGAGTGAAGTTCCGTCGCCTAGGTTATCATGTAAAAGAGGGAAAATTTATGTAGTAGACTAAAGTAGGATAAATAAAAAAATCGAATTAGAAGATAATAGCTACTAATAAAAATGTCTTTGGAAACAAAGATAGTCTTTAGAAAATTGTTAGGTACTATGTATATAAAAAGTTGTACTAAGTATATATAGTAACATTTTACTTACCAACATGGAAGTATACAGCCAATAGCACTAGCGGAAGCCATCTTGACGCCATAATGTGGATCCTACTAACAAAAAAAAAATGCTACAATATGTAATAAAAAATCACGCTATAAAATGGAAGATATCTCGAGAATCACATATTATAATTTAGGTATTATAAAACGATAGTCTTAGGTTTTTACTCTGACATATTTCTATACAGTCCATGCTATTAAATTATAAATGTGTAAGTAACTCTGCCTGTCTGTTATCTTTCACGCTTAAACCGCTGAACAAATTTTGATAAAATTTAGCGAAGACATAGCATAGATAGCATAGATAGCATTGCATCCTGGGATCGGACCTAGGTTACATTTGAACCACGCGAGCGAAGCCACGGACAAAACTAGTGAGTAATATTTTGGTTTTAGAGCTGCATTCTAAACATACATAGATTTAAAGCGATCTCTTACAAATGAAACTAGATACGGGCCGCCTCATTGACGTACAGTTGATTCTAGAGTGCCATGTGGTTAACCAATTGGTAGATCCGGATGCAACAGTTTGTACTTGAACTTGAAACTACTATTTTTGTTTTCAATCATTGTAACAAGTAAATATGGGATTACACATATTTTTAAAAACTTTCCTCAAATATTTAATAAAACTAAATAAACTATATTACTAACTAGATAACTAGCTTTAAGCCGAGGCTTCGCTCGCGTATCTTGACGATAAAAAGTACCCTTACCAGCATCCTCTTAGCGACTATGAACAAACAGATCTAAAAAAAATTTTTAATAGGTTATTAGTAGTTAAACCCCTCAACCCCAAATAATTATAGTATCCTACCATAATATGACCTATCATAATAGACTAATTAATTATATATCTTATATTAGGTAATGAACCTACGACCTACACTGAGCACTAACATTCACATCGACACTGCGTCAAACAGACATACAGTCGTGGTATATAATAAATAATGACATATGATATGAAAACCTAATTATAAAATCTGAGAACATGAAATCGGACACAGCTAATTAAATGAACAATTAAACAATAGACCTGACCTATTTACCAGGTCAATTGAGGCAAGGCCGTAGTGGAACTAAATTAATTACTAATCATATTTTGCTGCAGCCATGAGTCACTAAAGCTCAGGTAAATGAATGACCTAGCTATTGCTTTCGGCTTCACTCGCTTATTTTTTTAAGTATATTTTTATGATTTACCCTCAGATGTGTCCCTAGGTATATTTTAAATAGATAAAAATAGTTATTGCGAGTGTACTTTAGGAGATAGACACATCTGTAGGGCTTTTTAAGAGCAATATTTTTGTAGTAAATTGTTTTAATGTATCTCTTAAGATTTAGCCAACGTTATATATGTAAACTAAGGACGACTCGACAGAACCAGTTATTGGAATGTAAGATTTTACTGTAGTAGGTAGAGAAGGTATCTTAAATGTTGACCGAGTACTCTGTACGCAATACGTAACAATCATTGTTTTATAAAAATATTTCATGTAGGTACAGATTTCGCTTTGTTTCTATTTTATTATATGTATAGTATGCCAGAAGATAAATTGTAGATAGTTTAGTGACGTACACCGTAAGTAACTTGTAAACATAAGAAAGGCTATACATACATACAGTAGAATAACTGTAGATAGATGTAACCTATACTAATATTATAAAGAGGTAAAGTTTGTGAGTTTGTGACGTTGTAGGGAGTAATCTCTGGATCTACTAACTGATTTAAATGAAATTTGGTAAAAAGATAGTTTGAGACCCTGGGAAGGACATAGGATACTTTTTATCCCGGAAATCATCCCTTAAGGTGGTGAAAATGGGCATGAAAGTTTGTATTGGGACGCAAGCTAGGGACGAACCCGAGGGAAGCGAGGGTGAGCTGCTAGTTTGTATATAAAGATATACATAGTATTGACTTAATGAGGTGAAATCTTAGCTTTTGAAAGACTTGCGACATTGGTGAAGTAAATTGTAACCAAATAATACTCCTAGAAGCCACGAAACAAAAAAATTAAATAATAATCACAAACTATTCCCTATTCAAGAATAAATAAATGTATCTATTTGCTAAGAAACAAGTAGGTACAGACCCATAAACTAAGTATTATAATATTATTTAAGCTCGATTTCGTCGCGTGTTCGACTTAGATTATAAAAATATTGCAATGCAACAAATTCTATTAAAGCGGCAATTGACACCAATCGCTTACAAAATGATCCCACGACATAGTTGAGGCGTTTCGCGAACAATGCGTAAAGTACTGAGATTTGCATAGCTAGTTTTATATTTTGTATGCATTTACCGATATTGTAGAAAAAATATAAAATGTACAACAGTCAATATCTATATTATATTCCCGAATCCTTTTAATATAAAATTAATGTACAAGCCCCTATGGACAGGTATGTACTATGTACTCTACTCGATTTTTTTTCTCTTTAATTTATTTTATTTTCTCATTACTTATTTCATAGTCAATGATTAGTAGTATATTATATAATATAATTATGTAATAAAATATATCATCAACTAAATTATCGTGACTTATCGAACATAAAAGTAAAATAAACTATATTTAAATTGGTTCATTTTACGAAAAAAACTTTAATTTTCTATATTTTCATATGATAAATTATATATACTCGTAATATGTATATTTCATTTATATGACACATACAATGATTGAAAAATCTAAATTAAATAACTACTGCTAAATTTTAATAGTGTATCGTTCTTGCTATTCAGGAAAAATAGGTTGTATTATTATTATTTCAAATAGGATGAGGTTCTAAACAAGACTATTACAGGTCTCCATTCTACGCGACATTGGTGAAGTGAAACTCTTAGAAGCTACTAAACAAAAATAATTGAAGACTATATATATAAATATATATATATATATATATATATATATATATATATATATATATATATATATATACAGTACGGACGTACAGAAGCACGCACTTTTGGGCAATTCACGCAATTTTAAATCGATTTTTGATTAGTGGGGAAATCCCTTTACGGGTGCCCGTGCACGGGGCGCGCGCCGTGTATGTGGGACTCCTGTCGCGAAAAGTGCGGCAGGCTACCCACTAAAACCAGCACGGTGATCCCTATCGCAAAAGACGGCCGAGGGATCGCTTGTGCATTCGACCGCGAATTTATATTTGGACCTGAACAAAGAGTTAAAAAAAACTTCTTTGGAATTATTATGATTATTGAAAAAAACAAATGCAATTTTTAGTAGCAGCCCGGAGTTGGAAAGTTGGCTGTGTTACCTACGTGCCTTGGAGAGCACGTAAATCAATCGGTCGTGTGCCTAATCTCTTACCGGTCGTGTTGAATTGTCATCCCATCGGATTCTTAAGAGTGAAAGCAATAGAGTGCATTTGTAAGTGCGTACGTACATACACTTGTGATTTATAATATCTTTTGCGCTGTTGTCCGAAATCATTCAGGAGAACAATTTTTTTTATTTCGGGACATTAACTCACAGCGCCATCTAGTTCCATGGTAAGCTGCGAGGCTTGTGTTATGGATACTAGATAGTTGATACACTACACAATATAACTTTAAATACATACATGTTATAAATACACATTATTAATTTGCGGTACAACATTATTAATATGCGGTAGTATAAGAGGCATTTTGAGGTATTGCGCGTCGTAGGTGAGCTAAGCGATCCTGCGGCACCCAGACGGGGTAGATTCCGTTTGGTTCAATGGGTAGTACTGAAATTTTTGTCCTGTAAGTCTCTATATAACAACTTTTATGTATGTATGTGGTAGGTAGGTATGCGTTTCCCAACGTTAAATAAACAAGACATTTGAAATTGGTTAATTAAATGTGTATTTATTTAAAAACCTAAATTATGCGTATCTATTATTTTGAACAATGTAATGACTTAATTCGTACAGTTATTTAATAGTAAAATGAACAAGAAAAACTAAGAATGAGATCACAGAAGAACAATAAGTTACGTTGCGCAAATATTTCGCAGATCAAACATTATAAAAACAATCTCGAATGCTGGGAATTCACCAAATGACTTAGAATACAGCTACCGTTATCTGATATGTAATTATAAATTAACTTTAAAGTGACTTAGAAGAAAAAGATAACAAGGTTTTTTTTCAAGGAGCATTTAGCAGCTGTAATTACGTTAGATTAATTTAAATAAGATTTGAAAAACAAATCAAATTGTATGTGTTAAATATGTTAATTAATCATGTTAAACAAACGTCTTCAATTACGGACCGAATTTAATTTTATATATATTTTAAGTCTTTTTTTAAATGATAATAAAAAAAACACTCATAAGTATGGAATTTTAAAATAAAGTTTTAAAATAATTGTGAAGTTAAACCTTTTTTTTAAGAATCATTAAATTAATTATTTTATTCAAGTCTTGTTGTAAATAACAAAACATTCTGCATTTATATGTATCTTTTCCACTGATATTTACATTTGTTTTATTGTGTTCTTTTATATTTGGTACCAGTGACTTACCCTCGCTTCGTTCAGGTGCGTTCCTAGGTACATTTTAATTTTTTTAAGCGGGACCCTAATTCTTTTTTGAAAATAAAAGTGAAAGTCCCTTCAAAATCAGTCCAGCCGTTTCGCAGATTAGCCGGAACAGACAGACAAAAATAATTAAAAAATATTTTTCTTATAAGTAGCGTATGTAGGATTTAGCAGACACAGTTTAAAAATTGTGTTTTTCTTATAAGTTCCGTATATAAGTTTATATGCATTTAGTCAAAAGCTGTTATTTTGATATTACAAACAGACACTTCAATTTTATTTATCTGTATAGATCGTATACGGATCGACAGTTGACGGAGTCTTCACTAATCTACGTGTGACATTGGCGAAGAAAATTTGGTTCACATGGCACGCCTAAACGCCATAAACAATTGAATTGATCTACCAACGCAAATACCGTAAAAATAATAGTGACGACGTCACATTCCACACGAATTATACCGAACCATAGATCATTTATTTTTTAATATATTCGGAAAA